TTATTAAGTAAATCCTAATTTTCCAAAAACACCATATCTTGCCGGTAAGTTATAGTGTAAAAAGCCTATATATCAGAGAACGCAACATCTTACCCGTAATTTATTAAGTAAATAGCCTAATTTCCCAAAAACACCATATCTTACCGGTAAGTTATAGTGTAAAAAGCCAATAAATCTGAGAACGCAACATCTTACCCTTAATTTATTAAGTAAATAGCTTAATTTTCCATAAACATCATGTCTTGCCGGTAAGTTATAGTGTAAAAAGCCTATATATCAGAGAACGCAACATCTTACAAGTAATTTATTAAGTAAATAGCCTAATTTCCCAAAAACACCATATCTTACCGGTAAGTTATAGTGTAAAAAGCCAATAAATCTGAGAACGCAACATCTTACCCTTAATTTATTAAGTAAATAGCCTAATTTTCCAAAAACATCATATCTTGCCGGTAAGTTATAGTGTAAAAAGCCTATATATCAAGAACGCAACATCTTACAAGTAATTTATTAAGTAAATAGCCTAATTTCCCAAAAACACCATATCTTACCGGTAAGTTATAGTGTAAAAAGCCAATAAATCTGAGAACGCAACATCTTACCCTTAATTTATTAAGTAAATAGCCTAATTTTCCAAAAACATCATGTCTTGCCGGTAAGTTATAGTGTAAAAAGCCTATATATCAGAGAACGCAACATCTTACAAGTAATTTATTAAGTAAATAGCCTAATTTCCCAAAAACACCAATCTTACCGGTAAGTTATAGTGTAAAAGGGCCTATATTATCGTTGAAACGCAACATCTTACCCTTAATTTATTAAGTAAATAGCCTAATTTTCCAAAAACATCATGTCTTGCCGGTAAGTTATAGTGTAAAAAGCCTATATATCAGAGAACGCAACATCTTACAAGTAATTTATTAAGTAAATAGCCTAATTTCCCAAAAACACCATATCTTACCGGTAAGTTATAGTGTAAAAAGCCAATAAATCTGAGAACGCAACATCTTACCCTTAATTTATTAAGTAAATAGCTTAATTTTCCAAAAACATCATGTCTTGCCGGTAAGTTATAGTGTAAAAAGCCTATATATCAGAGAACGCAACATCTTACAAGTAATTTATTAAGTAAATAGCCTAATTTCCCAAAAACACCATATCTTACCGGTAAGTTATAGTGTAAAAAGCCAATAAATCTGAGAACGCAACATCTTACCCTTAATTTATTAAGTAAATAGCTTAATTTTCCATAAACATCATGTCTTGCCGGTAAGTTATAGTGTAAAAAGCCTATATATCAGAGAACGCAACATCTTACAAGTAATTTATTAAGTAAATAGCCTAATTTCCCAAAAACACCATATCTTACCGGTAAGTTATAGTGTAAATTAAAAAAAAAAAAAAAAAAAAAAAAAAAAAAAAAAAAAAAAAAAAAAAAAAAAAAAAAAAAAAAAAAAAAAAAAAAAAAAAAAAAAAAAAAAAAAAAAAAAAAAAAAAAAAAAAAAAAAAAAAAAAAAAAAAAAAAAAAAAAAAAAAAAAAAAAAAAAAAAAAAAAAAAAAAAAAAAAAAAAAAAAAAAAAAAAAAAAAAAAAAAAAAAAAAAAAAAAAAAAAAAAAAAAAAAAAAAAAAAAAAAAAAAAAAAAAAAAAAAAAAAAAAAAAAAAAAAAAAAAAAAAAAAAAAAAAAAAAAAAAAAAAAAAAAAAAAAAAAAAAAAAAAAAAAAAAAAAAAAAAAAAAAAAAAAAAAAAAAAAAAAAAAAAAAAAAAAAAAAAAAAAAAAAAAAGTGAAAGTTATAAGGGTTTTTTTTGAGGGGTATGTAAGAGCCGTTGGATTTCATCCAACGGTGAGTTTTTAAAAGAGGGTGCATGTAGAACCGGGTTGAAATCTGACCCGTTTGGAGACCCAACTTCAGCTGAAGATTTTTCCCTCTCTGTGAAAAACTCAAGAACACAATCCTCTCTTTTTTAATGTAATGCAAATCCACAATTAGAAAGATCCAAAGCTCCCAAACTCTATAATCGCTCCATTGTCATCAGCTCCTTGGGAGGCCTGCGATCTATGGTATCCTCGGTATGATGATTAATGGCTTTTACCTAGCTATTGCCCTGTTTTGATTCTATGATTGAAGTGAAAACCCCTTCTCTTTTTCGTTCAGCAGAAGAGATTCCAGATGAAAGCAAAGTAGCATATCTCTTTTTCGTGCTGCTGCAGTTGTTCCTGGATTTTGGTAGAGATGGAGTCTCCACTACGAAAGAATCCTCTCTAATGTCCACCACATTCTTTGAAGCTGACTGAGTTCGGAGCTCCCGATTGACTTTGAGAGGTAAGTTCACTCTTGCTGGATTGATTTTGTTGGGTTTGATTTGTTTTTTGTGAGGGTGAGAAATTTGTCATTTGTGGCATCAATAATGCGTCATTTGCTCTGCTATCAATAATGCGTCATTTGACTTTGAGAGGTAAGTTCACTCTTGCTGGATTGATTTTGCTGGGTTTGATTTGTTTTTTGTGAGGGTGAGAAATTTGTCATTTGTGGCATCAATAATGCGTCATTTGCTCTGCTATCAATAATGCGTCATTTCCTTATGAATATTCAATATACTTAGTTGATTATTTTTGTTTGGAGGGGGATTGGAAAATTATGAAATGTAGGTAAAAGATCCTAAACTTAGGCTTAATGGCATTAGAAGTAAGCATTTGGAGAGGATATTGGGTGAAGTTCTGTAATTGCTGGTTTGAATTACATTTGAGTTCTTAGTTGAACATGTTGGTTCTAATGTTATTTTTTCCAGATTATTTCACAAGAGATGACGTAACTATTATTAAATTTTGCTTGTGTTTTGTGTAATCAGAATCCAACAAGCTAGGCTATGCGTGTATTGTGTCAATTTGGGCAATGTTTTGTGTAAGTGGAATGCATTGATAAGTTGTGATGCAGTAATGATTGATTAATGAATTAACATTTGCTATGCAGTAATATAGAAGTAGATCAATAATATACGTGGATAAAATGTCTGGGGGCTCAGAGAGTGATGACTCTGTAACAGCTAATGGGAGGGTTTACATTCCTGAAGTAAGAAATGAGGAAACACCAGCAGTTGGGATGAAGTTCGACTCGCTTGACCTCGTTTATAATTTCTATAATAGATATGCATTCTTGGCTGGCTTTGGTATTCGACTTCATTCCAGCTTTTGGGGGAAAAATAAGAAAGAGATTCTGAGAAAAGAATTTGTATGTTGCAAACAAGGTGCATACCGGAATGATGAAACTCGGGAGAGAAAAAGACAGCGGGGAATAAGTAGATGCAATTGCAAAGCTAAGATTGTGGTTGTGAAGACACATGGGAGCAAGAAGTATACCATCTCTCTTTTTGCAGAGGGACACAATCATAAGATGACACCCTCAGGAAGAATGCATTTACTGAGATCACACCGTCGTATTTCAGATTCTACAAAAGTACTCACAAAACAGTTGGGTTCGGTTAATATTCCCATTAATCAGAAGGTAAGTATTTTCGAGGTGCAATCCGGAGGAATGGATAAAATCGGTTTTATCAAAAAGGATATCTACAATCTTGAATGTAGTGTGAATGGGAAGCTGAGGAACCACGATGTTGAACTAGTGACCGAGTATTTTATGGCTGAACAGAAAAAAAATGAGGCTTTTTATTTCAAGATTGAGGGAGATGGCGATAACAGGTTTAGTCGATGTTTTTGGGCAGATGCAACTTCTAGACGGGCGTACGGGTTTTATGGAGATGTTGTTGTATTCGATACCACATTCAACACGAATAGATACGACTTGACATTTGCACCAATGTTGGGAGTTAATAACCATGGTCAAACAATTGTCCTAGCATGCGCATTTTTGAGCAAGGAAACGACTGAGTCGTTTATTTGGATGTTTGAGGAGTTTAAGAAAGCCATGCCAGGTGGCGAACCTAAAACGATCATCACAGATCAAGATGCGGCAATGAGCAGAGCGATTTCAATAGCCTTCCCGACTACATTTCATCGACTTTGCATATGGCACATCACATCAAAGTTCTCTGTTAAGTTACCACATTCTGCTTATAAGGAGTATTGGGGTGAATTCCAGAAAGCCATATGGGATACTGACAATAAGGATGAGTTTGATGCAAAATGGAATATTGTGGTTACAAAGGCTGGTTTGACTGACCATCCATGGCTAAGTTCAATGTTTGATTTAAGGGAATCTTGGGTTCCAGCCTACGCACGACACTTTTTTGCCGCTGGAATGTCAAGCAGCCAAAGAGCGGAATGTTCTCATGGTTTCTTCAAGCAATACATATCAAGGAGAAATTCGTTGATGGATTTCATAATAAGATTTGAGAGGGCACTTTCTCATCAACGTCAAAAAGAGTTAGTTGCTGATCACGTAGATGCATTTGAAGTGGCTCAATGTATTCTACCGATGCCAATGAACAAACAAATGGCTACCTTGTACACAAGGACAATGTTTCAAAAGTTTGAGCAAGAACTAATACAAAGTACAGCATGTTTCCTAGAGCTGAAAACAGAGGATGCTTCTAAAGTTGTCTTTAATGTGAGCGAAAGGAAAAATTGGGAAACAAGAGTGGCAGAAGTCGTATATGTCAAAGATTCTGACCACGCATCGTGTAGCTGCAAAAGATTTGAATTTGTTGGAATTATTTGCAAGCACATCCTAGCATTGTTCAGAAGGGACCAGATTGAATATATGCCCGATAAATACATTTTGAAGAGGTGGAAGAAAACTGCGAAATTTGGATTGGTGTCAGATGCAAATGGCAACGAAATTAAAGACTCTGCAGATCCTGGTCTTTTAATAAAGCGGAGTACAATGTCCCGACTTGCTTCAGATGTGGTTGAGGATGCATTAATGTGTGAAGAAGGATGTGAGCTACTGTCAGAGACTCTAAAAGTTTGCGGGTGAAGTTGAAGTTGTTGAAGGATGGACCAAGTAATAACGAAGTTGGAGGGTCCAGCTCTCAAACACAATATATGAAAGACCCTAAGAGAGTAAGGTGCAATGGAGGGTCGAAACGAGTAACGGGAGCAAAGGAAAAGGCAATGAAGCGAGGGATTAGACACTGTCGGGAGTGTGGACACATTGGTCATGATAGAAGACAATGCCCAAGAAATTTGAACACACCGTAAGATGTTAACACTATTTATAATAAGACCTAAAATTTGAATAGGTAAAGTTCTTATGTGCTTCTGTTTGATGTTTATGCAGGACATCACCGTCGAACAATGACGAATCAACTCCAATAGATCTTAGTGACCCATTATTCGACGAATTTTACAGGATGCACGGACCAACTCAATGATTTAGGTTTCTATTATACGAAGCCCGGTTATTATGAAGACTAATGATCAGGTGAAGTTTTCTAGATGCAGTTTTATTATTATTATTTTTTGTTCATGTCCACCGATGAGCTCTTACTATGTCCATTGATAATTGAAATGAAAATTTGCTTGGTTTCATTCTTGCATGAAATTTGGACACATGTTAATTTTACGTCTTCTCCCTATTTAGAAATTTTTCATAGACATTAGATAAAGCATCAAATTTTGATTTATGTGAAGAAGCAATGACTTTTACCTTGTAAAATGGGTAGTTTATGGTGAATTATGTTTTAACAGAGATTCATTGATTATATGACAGGCTAATGCAGCATTTCCAGCAGCCAGCTGTTGTTTCCATTACCAGTAATGATTTCCAGCAGCACGCATCATTTGTAGCAGCACCCACTTTTTGCGAATGTTATGTTCTAGTGTTTTACTGGTGATTAAGATCTGAGCTGGACTGGTTATTAGGTGCACGATTTTGCAAACATTCGTAACTGAAGGATACTTGAAGCACTTTGTTGGAACAGAAAGATTAGAAAGCAACGTGTAAAAAAGTACATTGCAGCTAATCACATTTCGAATGGTTGGGTAATATTAAAGGGTACACTAACATTTGAACTACTCATAATTCCACACACAAAAGAAAATTTGATTGCAAAGCATTTTATGTGCTCCCTCTTAGCAATACCACGATCTCCCCAATCAACTGAACAACGGTAGCCACAATCACTAGGTCGTATTGGTCAGCTTCTTCTTAGCAGGTCTCACGTGCTTATGGTCACTCATGTCCCCAGTGATATAGACAAAATAAATATTCAGCAATATTTGGAATTTTATTATATATACATAAACCATAAACCATTCACTACACAATGTATAGCACATGGTATTTTACTTATGACTCACGTGTCATGATAATGGGGCTTTACTGATTCCCAACGTGCTGTGATATTGACTGCTTATTGAATAATATTTCCATATTTGCAAAATATAATGTTAGACAGAAGGAACACATGATGACTTGCAAGACATAGTCCCAATAATTATATATGAAGCAAATGAAACTGATATTTGTATTATTTTATATTAGATAATGACATTAAGGGAATATAGTTCTAATTTGTGCAATACCACGATCACCCCCAACCAACAGAACAGCTGTAGCCGCAATCACTTAGTCGTATCGGTCGGCTTCTTCCGAGCAGCTTTGACGTGCTTATGCTCATTCATGTCACCACCATCGTCTAGTATCTCTCTCACAGCATCAGGGGACACATAGTCCCAATTATAACTTGTATGAGTAGTTGCCGCGAATGCTCGGAATTTTTCGAATCCTTCGTTGAATGCCAACTCCAGTTCACTGTGGTGCTCTTCGCATCGCATATGGTTCATCAAACAACCTTTAATTTCATCATTCATTACTGCATCCAACTCCTCAGCTTTCAGCTTCCTTTTATGACTCAGCTTCAAGTACTTGTTCTTTTGGGAGAACGCTTTGTTCACTCTAATGTTAAGATCAGCCAAAATGGCCTCGTCTTCAACACATTTCTCGTGCCATGAATTGATCAGTCTGGAATTATAATCCAGCTTGGTACTGACTGCATCTATTGCCTCTAATGGATCATCGGAGTCCCCCTCACTCCCAAATGATGTTGAAAATGGAAGGGGTCGGCGAGTACAACGTGGAAACGGAACCTGCGACTCCAATTTTTCATCTTTGATTGTGTTGTTGGCGCCTGAAGAGGTTGACATGCTTGAATAATCCTATTTGTTTTAGAGGATGAGGATTGCAGATGCAATTTCGTTTGAGAAATGGAACATAGCTTTATAGACCAACATACCAAAGCTTGCGTGTAGTCAACATATCTACTTTATTTCAATTTTTAAAAAAGAGGTGTCAGGTTTTGCTTTTCAAGCATGTCAACCTCACACTCTCCTTACACCACTGTTAGTGGTTGAAAGAAACTCAATGGAAGTGACATCTAGTTAGTGAACCCAACCAAACTAAACAAACTAGTTAGGATTAAACTTAGATTGTATGAGACCTTTTTTCATTTATACATTGTCAACCAAATGTTTTTTTTGGCGGGAACCCTTTTTTATTGGTATTACTATCACCCCCTTCATAAAAATTCTCCCTCCACAAAAAACTCACTCCTCCACCGAATCTGTCTCCATCTACTGAAACTCTCTCCTCCACAGAAACTCTCTCCCCCCATTGAATGGATTTACTAACCAAGTTTGATGTGAGCATAATAAACACCCCTCCAAACAAAGACCGCCTTCGAAACGCAAGTGAGTCACCAGACAAGCAATGTCACTTTCCTAGACAGAATGACCATTTTGTTGGAAGTTTTGAGTCTGAAAGAGTTCTTGCTTTCTGGAAGGAGAGGCATCTTCAACTTGGTGATGAAATCCAAAGGGCAAGGGCACGTTTGGAATTTGTTGAAGGCCAAATTGAAGATGACAAAAGGCAGGCCAATCTGGATAGGGCGAAGTTGCAGCGCATGAAGCGTAGACACAAACGACTTCGGAGTGTAGCTGTTCAAAAATACAAGAACTCATCTAATGCAATGGAGTCAAAGAAGTGTGTGATGCAAGCTGGATTCGACTACTTCCGGTCCTATGCAAAACTCGTCGTACCCGGGTTTGATTGGTCATCTATTACCGTTTCCGACGTTAACAAATATACTCAGCAAGGGAAGTAACCATTTTGGTTATCGTGTTTGAGTAGAGGCAAATCAGAGGAATTGGAATTTTCGTTAAACTCTGCTTCAAACCTATTTTGATGCTTACTACAATAGAAGATTTCAACCTTAATATTTTGATGTCTTTAATTATGATAACACGATGCAAAGTGCCCATCTACTTCAGTCATATGTTGCTGCCATGTCCATTTTTTTGTGATCACGTATTAGATTTGGACATGGTTGCATCATATGCAATGTTGCCTTTATGTATTATATGTTAGGGTAAGGTTTATGGAAAAGCATGTGTGAGTGGTTTTGTGACAAGGTTATGGCATTATTTTGTACCAGTTATATATTGTTTTTTGTACTGGTTCATCTCCTACTATTGCTTTATTTCTTTATATTATATGTTTATGCGATTGGACATGATAGAAAATATATTACTGATTCCCAATGCGGCGTCATAAGGACAACTTATTGAATACCGCCGACGTGTTGAAAACTCTAGGTGCAAGTGCATATGGACAACTTATTGACTATCTCTGACGTTTTCAAAGCTTTAGGCGCATGCGCAGTTCCAATGATGGTTTCGAAGTAGTGGTGCATTTATTATATATGTACATTATTATAACCAAAACAGATAATTTTACATCCTTATATATGAAAGGAAACTAATTCTTGTATTAGTACAAATTATATAACGAATATTAAGGAAATATACTTGTTAAAATGACAAACATATATACTTAGGGTTAAGAGGAAAGTGAGTTATGTAAATTATTTTTGAATTTTTAATTGCAAATGGATGATTTATGGGTTCCCTTTGTTTTATAACGTCACAAGGAGGCCGGAGTATTTTTCGGGGCATTTTTTGGATTTTTCTACTATTTATTGCATTTTTTCAAAGATTTTTGCACTAAAAAAGCCAAAATAATTGCCAAATGGACACATGGCGCGATCTCAGCCCCTCACCTTTCACCCCTTGACAAGTGTGTGTCAGTCAACATGGCCACATTCTTACCTTTTACCCTAAATTATTATTTTATGACTTTTTCTTAGAAAATTCATAACTAAATACACAAAAATCAGAAAAATGATCCGAAAATTGCTACGAACTCATTGAGACACCATCTCCCTTGCTGAATTCCCCGATTAGTGGTTACACATTTTAAAAAATAATTCCGAACATTAACGGGAGATGCTTGTTGAAGTAGGTTATTGAAGTTAAAGTTAACAAACATATATACTTAGGGTTAAGAGGAAAGTGAGTGATGTAAATCATTTTTGAATTTTTAATTGCGAAATGGATGATTTATGGGTTTCCCTTGTTTTATAACGTCACAAGGAGGCCGGAGTATTTTTCGGGGTATTTTTAGGATTTTTCTACTATTTATTGCATTTTTTCAAAGATTTTTGCACTAAAAAAGCCAAAATAATTGCCAAATGGACACATGGCGCGATCTCAGCCCCTCACCTTTCACCCCTTGACAAGTGTGCTTCAGTCAACATGGCCACATCCTTACCTTTTACCCTAAATTATTATTTTATAACTTTTTCTTAGAAAATTCATAACTAAATACACAAAAATCACAATAATGTTCCGAAAATTGCTATGAGCTCATTGAGACTCCATCTTCCTCCTGAATTCCTTGTTTCATGGTTACGCTACATTAGTATTTTATTATTATTTATCCAAAATTATTTTATTATTATTGTTATATTACTTTTTAGCTTGTACATTTGTTAATTATATTTACTCCAAATTTTTAATTTTATTTTTATTTTCCGTGTGAATAGACCATTTCTGGTGCTAATCAGTTTCTCTGTTCTTCAATTTGTTAATGTTTTTTCATTTTTAGGTTTAAGGGATGTTTTCAAACATAAAATGGAAATATACAAGCCATCGATTCTACAACATCAGGAAATAATTATTCAAAGTCTTTCACTGTTCAAGTTTTGCTTAAGAAACGTGTAACCCAATCATTTGGGATATGCTAAGTGGGAAAATGTCATTCCCAAGAACCGGTGAAAAGACACATACTCACTTCATGCATGCGTTTTCGTTTACCAAATATTAAGATTGCAGTTATGCAAAATATCTGTGTCAGTAAAATGTCATTCGTAGCCGTCAATTATGTCAGTAATAATTCCACTATGTAACAAATATTATACATTTATATATAAAACGGTTTAGGACAGCACAAACAAACACCAGACAAAATAGATTAAAACATGAAATAGAAAACAACATTTGTAGAACCTAGACACGCATAAAAACCGTAGAAACATACTACAACTAATTATAAGGGTATGGATTCCTTGGCACAACATAGACACGCATCACCTTGAACCAAAAAACACTCTCACGGTGCCATTTGCATCGATTGCAACAAGTCCAGAAGGCAGGATTGATCTTTTCTTCACTAGGCCAGCTTGGAATAACAAAACACCAGTCGTTGTTGTTACAAGCGCTGCATTGATTGAACTTAATCTTCCCATAGTGAAACATATCTACGATATGTCTTCCAACAGAGAAAATTCCGCTTAATCGTCGTCTCAAAGCATCCCTGGTTCCTTTCATATCAATGTTGTTACGTTGATTCAAAGAACACAAGAATTCTAATGCATCCTCTTTTGACTGACCAATTCCGGACATGCCAAGTAGTCCAACTAGATATGCCGCTTCCATATGGCCTGCCGTGGCTGCAACGCGCATCCCAGACAATGCTTCCACATTACCCTGCCTGAAAAACACGTCGAACGCTTCTCTAAATATCGCCTCACGGTTCTCGCAAGCCCTGCATTGTTCCACGAAATGCCGGACCTGCGTTGAGGCATAGTACCAGTTAGGATGGTCTTGGTACTTTTCCATTGAAATTGTGTTCCACACTTGTGGAGTGTTTGCCAACGTATTGAACAATGGGCACACAGATGCCATACGAAAGAGATCTTCCGATGATTGGGTTGCCACGTATAACATCACTTTAAACCAAGCTAATTCCGGGATGAAGGCTTGAGGCACATCCAGATGGAGATGCTTCCTTCTCTTTCCTCCGACTGTAGTGTAATGTTTCGAATTCATTGAAATATTTTTGGAATGGAACGATTTGAGGATTGCAAGAGGGGAGAAATGAGAATTTACCGGGTTTTGGGTTTGTTTTAGCCTCTGTTTGCACTGTTTTGAAAAGGTGTTTCCTTGGGGTTTTTCCAAGTTGACCTTTTTTAAAGAAACTGAACCCAACACCCAAAACATAAGACAGGCGAAGGGAAAACGTCATCGAAATGCAAAGGGAGTCAGACCGTCCAAAAGTCAATTAATAACCTATTTCCATAGCCATTGTTAGGCTTTTCCCGCCATTAAATTCATTGATACAAATGTGATGGATTACTGACTAGTGACAGAAGGTCCCATCAGATACTTTTTCATTTTCCCACACCACACTACCCCTAGTAAATGACGGATTCTTATCCAACTAGTTGCCTTAATGAAATATAAAGAAAATAATATATTTAAAGCAGTGTCCCCTCAATTGTAAGATTAATATTTGGTAGTGAAATAGTATATCGCTTTTCGGAGTAAAAGGTGTCACAATTCTGACGGTACAGGTGTCTAGATCGTGACCAACCCACCCACACACAGAAAAGAAGGATATAATTCGATTTGGGCAAAGATGAGAGAGAGCTGAGTGAGAAGTTTAGGGTTATGACTTATGAGTGAAGGGGTATGACTGAGAAGGTATGAGTCCGAAGAGGTTTTAGTGAAAAGATCTGAGTGAGAAGAGGTACAAGTGATAAGATTCAACATGTCTTCGTCTTCATCTCCCGCTCAAACAAAGAGGTGTCAGTATTGTGGAGCTGCAATGGTGCTTCGGGTTTCAAAATCAGATAAAAATCGAGGGAAGCCATTTTGGAAGTGTCTAACCTCCTATGTAAGTTCTCATTTCCAGAATATGTATGTGGGTGAAAAAAAAATCCTAGGTCTAACTCTGACAGAATTATTTTGCATATATGATGCTTGCAATTAGGGAGCCACCAGTTGCAATGGATTCGAATGGGTTGATGTAACCTCCGCTGAAGCAGATCAGCAAGCTGACACGTATGATGCTACAGTGCTTAATATGTGAAGTCCATTAAGGACTTGGTATTAGTTTTATTAGTTGTATCAATTGTCATATTATTTGTTCTTTTAATGACCAATTAAGTGCACAGTTTCAAGGATTGTAAACGTTCTCCCCAAAAACACATGTTGCACGCACCACCAATGACTTTTCAAACCCAATTTGTAATTTTTGTTCTTCAAATAGGTGGATTGGCATTGAGTTTAAATTATTGTTTGAAACAAAAGCATGTATTTGTCAGAAACCCAGTAAAACCTTTTCTAGACTTACTTTACAAAAATAAAGTCATACGAAGACGATAAAATGACAATACAGGGGCCAATACGATGCAATAATAAGACAATACCTTTTTTTTGAAGATTGCATAATTATTCAGTGTATATAGATTGTTTATTGATTGTTTACTGCATGTAAATCGCATGATATTGAATGTTTATTGAAGGTTTATTAACTGCATGTATTTCGCAAGTTATTACTCTGATATTGAGTGTTTATTGAAGGTTTATTGATTGTTTACATGTTTCGTGAAGGTTTCATGATTGTTAACTGCATGTATTTCGCATGTTATTGAACCGATATTGAAGGTTTATTGAAAGTTGATTGAGTGTTTACTGCATGTATATCACATGTTATTGCTCCAATATTGCATGTTTATTGGGGGCAAAAGTAGGACTCAAGTTAGATTTAAGGGGGGAAACGGTCCTTATTCTTTGTTTTAGTAGGAAGAACTACTGTTAAGTAGAATTTCCTATTCAATACGACTTCCTTATGGTTGATGTAATTGGGGACTGATGTATATTGCATGTCTATTGCGTGTATATTGCTTGTCTGTTGCCAGCTTAAAGATTGGGATATGATATTTGGAATGGTGGCTTGGATAAATGATGACATATCACTTTGCAATGATGTAATACACTTAAAAAGCCATCAGTCCCTATGTGAATATGCATTCTTCAAATCCCAATTCACATATGCAGTCTTCAAATCCCAATTCAATGCAGTTTGGTTGAGGTTAGGTAAATGTCGTGAAGGAGTTAGGCCAATATTACACCGATGTTTGTTTCATTACATCAAAAAAAACTTTACACTCCATATGCACATTCTATGTATGGGAATGGCATGTGTCTAACTTCAAAAACGCATCTGCCTATCCATTTAGATTGCCCACGTGCAATAAATTTACAGATCCATTTACTTTTCTCCTCACCAACCCTCAGCATCTCCATTTCAGATTCTTCATTTTTCTATGCTCTGCAACCAGCTCCATATACATTTCGCACAATATGAGAATAAACATAGCGTAATATCACACTAATCGAAATGAAAGCATGCATCCGCTATAATATTTGCCACTATTTTGGTTCTAATTGTTATTGTCCAATAACTTAAATCTAAATTTCTGTACACAAATACACTAAGATTGAAAAAGACGAAGAAGAATTCAGGAGCAGAGGTGGAATTCGAAAAGGACCCATGGGTCTCTATTGTGTATTTACATGACTTTGAAATTGGACATTCCCAAAACCTATTTAATCATCATGTGCCTAAACCAAGTTCAACCGATATCATGGCATGTAAGCATCTCCCCGTGCAATTTCTACAGCCAACTTCAACTGAAAAAATGGCATGTTCTGCGAGGTGCAAGTAGCTAAGGGAATCTCAGCACTCAACAGCTCAATGTACTTCAACACGAACTTACCACAATCGCCTCTGAAGCAAAACAAGAACTCGATCAATTCAACTAATGACATTCTAACGTAATTGACAAATTAAAGTAATAAAATTAAATAAAAAGTTGTGCTCACTGATTAGCTTGTTGTGGAACATCCACACGATGTATTGGCCATGGACACCACCAATCTCGGGTGCACTCATTCGCGTAAACACCTTCTTCATAAAAGTCGAGGGTGTGCAGAAGATTTGGAATCGTAATTGACAGGGGGCCGAGTTCTTCCTTTAAGCTCTGATCTGGAATGAGTGAAACCATTGAATCGTAGACTTTGATTTCACACTGAATTAGATCAATCTCTAGAGCCACCCAATGCTTATATTTTGGCAACATACAAGGTACATACACCTTATACGTGTTCTGCCAATCCAATCCACAAGCTGGAACCTTGCCATTTACAACGTTCACTAAACTGGTTCTAATTTTCCACCCAACTTGCTCTTTTTTCCTTTTATTATCCGCAAAGCAAGTATGGATGTGATTTTGTGAAATAGAAAACAATCAACGGTTAAACACCTCCACAAAGGAAGTATGGATAATTTGTAATTATTAACTGCACTTGGTCAAGGCCTATGCCATACTGATGTAGCACAGCCCTGGGTGTGTTAGTTTAAACACTTAGAGCAATAAGACAGAACAGATAAGAAAAGCTGAAGGGAAGAAAAGGTAGAAGGCAGGCAGAAATCAGAGAGTTTAAAGGAATTTTTAATCAATATTCAAATCTGAATTGTAAAGAACTACATAGGGGTATTTATAGCAAACTAAAACCTAGAGACAATAGAATTAAAATCCCCAGGTAAAACAGAAATCCTATTCCTAATAAAATAGGAAACTTAGAAATCCTAATAGGATTTGGAAAACTAACTTAGAAATCCTACTAGGATTTGGAAAACTAAAGAATATAGGAAACTAACAAATCAATTAGGAAACTAAACAATTTAGGTCCTATGCATCCTGCATCACATACCATAAAAAATACATCGGTCGTTGTCCAGTCCGATATTTCTACTTCCTCCAACTGTTGTTGTCGCTTCCGGATGAGATACAAGCCCAAATCAATGTGCTGCACATGTTTTCCTTGTCAATCTCATAATCTATGCACATTCAAACAAATGCATAATCAATTAAACTTACATCTCCTTTCAGCCAACCGTCAGCTTTGACGAGGGAAGAAGAATTCAATCTCAGCTTCCACGTTGCCAAATTGCATCACCAAACTATGAATATAAAAAGTTTTAGAACACAACAATTAAAAAATATATACACTCATGCCTTCTATCTCAAAAAACAAAGGACTTACTTTGGGTTATGGCGCCATTCCGAACAAAGTTTCAGCAATTTCACCATATCATCATGCGAAATCGCCTTCATTGGGTCTAACGTCCGAAGTCCGGTTGTCTTTGGCAAATTTTTTTGAACCACTTCACTAGCTTCAACGATCTTCCACATAGGAATAATCCTCTTCCTCTTCCGTAATTGGACCCCTCGTTCCACACCTTGACCTTCATCATTCAACCAAACGTTCAACTGAGATAACACAGCTGTAGGTTGATCCAAATCAATGTCCCCGAGAGTAACCTCAACCTTTGTCCCCTCCGTGCTCTCGCCAATGTCATCGCCAACCAACATAACTTCATCATCCTCTTCCTCACATTGGTTTCTTTGCACTTCCTTTTCCTCACTTCTCTGTCTTTTCACTTCCTTGCCCTTCCTTCTTTTTTTTTGCGGATCCTCTCCCTCACTGCTTTTTCTTTGCAGTTCTTCCTCTCCCTCAATGCTCTTTCTTTGCGCTTCCTCTCCTTTGCTGCTTTTTATTTTCACTTGCTCTCCCTCACTTCTTTTCCTTTGAGCTTCCTCTACCTCCCTTGGTTTTCTTTGCACTTCACCTCCTTCAATCCCCTCCTCTTCCTTTTCCTCTCCCTCATTTCTCTTACTTGGCACTTCACCCCCTTCAATCCCCTCCTCTTCCTTTTCCTCTCCCTCATTTGTCTTACTTGCCCCTTCACCCCTTTCAATCCCCTCCTCTTCCTTGTCCTCTCCCTCATTTCTGTTATTTGGCCCTTCACCCCCTTCAATGTCCTCCTCTTCATTTTCCTCTCCTTCATTTATATTACTTGGCCCTTCATCCCATTGCATGCCATCCACTTCCTCATATCCCTTAAATAGATGTGACACGACACAACGATTCGTCCTCTCTTTCAGTAAAAATATGTCCCTTCTCACTTCCTGCTCAAAATGAGGACCTAAACAGTGGTCCAAAATTTTTTCCATCCGTATGACCTTTAACTCAAGGACGTCCTTTTCCCGCTTTACTTGAAACAACTCGGACCTCAACAAGCTTACCGCCTTGTTAAACTCATCAAGGTCAGCACATGAAGAAGGAATTGACTCTGCCGAGACAACAGCAGGGCGACCCTGTGGCCAACTCCAATATGGTTGTCTCATTTCCTCTTCACTTGGACATAGCGCCCGCAACTGAACTGACTGTTTCAGAAAACAGACAAGAGTCATATGCAATCATTCTACTTCATAATTTCATTGCATCTTATAAATAGTTCCAAGGACTGCAAACCAAACCTCTTTGCTCTGGAAAAAATAATTGTTCAACTTTCTCATCTCGGGAACAGACGTAGTAGTTCTCCATCGCAAAATACGCGGGAGAGCTGTCGGATCAACAACCTTGCAGTAATTTAGGTCCGCCATTCTAGGAATTAATTCATATACCCAAATCTACACAATTCACAGGACACAAGTTATTATTTAAGTTTTAAAGTCAACAAAACATAACGACATGAACATTATTACCATGTACCTGGAAAGCATACGTGAAACCTTTAAAACTCCAACCACCCCTTTGCACTTCACCATGGTTATCCTTCTTGCCCTTCTCATTTCTCCGGCTTGTTCCGGTTACCTTACTTTTCCCCTTCCCTCTCCCTCTTCCCTCTTCATTTTCAAAGCTTTTCACATACTTTGTTGGTGCAGAAAACAGACTGTCTTGGGTTTTGTCAAACAACACCAAACCCCATGGAAACCTGTTGAACGCATCCAAGTCCTCTACAAGGGTCAGGTAATTTAGATTGATGTTCAAATGTTTGTCCCTTCCCAAAACCACTAACTCAGCAAAGTAAACAAGAGCTAGCTTGTAGACGTCATCTTCCTCTGTGCACCTCACAAATGCTTCTTCTAAAGCATTACATGTAATTCCTTCGTCTATAAAATATCTTTTCTGAAGTCTAATTTCATCACTTTCTCCACTGGAAACTTCAGGCACTTCCCCAAAACGAAGCCCTGAGATCAAACAGAAATCCTGACGAGTGAACTGAGCAACGTCGCACCCTATTAAGAAACTCAGTCCATCCAAGTCTTTCACACCCTGCCCCGCTACTCTACGCAACACAACCCCATGCACAATCTGCCCGCTAAACTGAATCTTATCTATATTCAGAAGATGGCCAAAGCATAATGTCTTGAATTGTTCTAATTGTTCGGCACTCAACTTCGCTCGAATTACAGCTATGGATGAATTTGCATGTGAGTAGTTGTTCACCCGTGAGGAATATGCCTCTGACTCTGGCCATACCAGCTCAACGTTGGATCCCATTTCCTGAAATACAAGATGAAATAACGTGAACACATATACTACCATGTATTTGCACAATCACATTGGTATTTACACAACTAGTCAACCAGCACATTACAAATTTTACAAAGTACATGCGCATAGGGATTACTGATCACAGGCTTTAACATCATCAAAGCAATATGATATATTTTGTGCAAATACCTGTTAATGCAATGATTCTGTGAATTACAAGCAATAACAAGTGTTTTATTTATGGATCCAAACTCCAATCAATGGTTGATGCATGAGTGAGTGTGAGTGCAATCTAGGCAAGTTCTGCACTTCACACACATGACAATTATTGTCATCTCATACACAACACAAAATAAATAAATAAATAAGAAAGATGGTGGAAGGAAGCAAAGCAAAGCATCTGCTCTGCTATCTGCTCGCTAAGCCATTGCCACATCCTTCTTTCTTTCTAGCTTTTTCTTCAGTCAGCCATAATTGTCATAGATCAACCTTTTTTCAAATGCTTTGCACTTTTATTCATGAGTTTATTATTATCTGTTCTCATTTTTAACAGGCAAATTTAGTAACAACGGAAATAATATTTATTTCAAAAATTATATATATTCTAGCGCCAGAGAGATAATCTGCACTCTGCACTGCTTCAAATGTGGAAGGTTTTGAGGGCCTCCTCCAATTCAACACCATTACCTTATTCATATAATTATTGACATGTTATTGACATGTTATTGACTTTATTGTCATTCGTTTTTTAACATATACCCAAACAAAAATTAACATGCAAGTGAAGCACAAAGAAGAGATGCCAAATCTAACAACATTCATGGTACAAATTGGGGAAAACGGTTACTCTAACCCTAAACTCAAATTCCATAAATTACTCACCAAATGCTGGTTATTGAACAATCGCAAGGTGTCTGTGTTGGGTCTTTGTGCGGCTTTGCTCCACAAATGGAACCTATCACTTCCAACGAATACGGCTTCTCTCCTTCCCCTTCCACTGCTTCGTCTTTTCACTGTTTCAGAATCCACGCCTTTGCTCCTTCCACTCAAAATAAATACTTTTTCACGGTTTAGATAGTGGAGTTGCCTTCAACCGTCGTTAACCTTTGCCTTCAACCGTCGTTGCCCGTTGCCTTCAACCGTTTCTCAGAGCTTAGAGGTTTCTTTGAGCTATGAGTTTGAGATCAAAGGGTTTTTTCTGTTCAAACTTCGAACTTGCCTCTCTTTTTTTTTTTTTGTTGGGACCAACTTCATTGCTGGATATTAAATTCGGGTTTGGGTTCCTCACCTACCCGATTGCACAACTTTATCCCACTTCTCCCCAGCCATTGGATTGATCCAATGACTATAAAGTGAACCCCTTATAACTTACCCCTCATTATAGCCTGACCGCTCTTTAGCTCCCTTTCATTTGGAAAAATATTTTTAGTGTCTGATGGAAAATTTGGTGACCTTAATTGTTCTATCTTTCTGAATGCTACCTGATGCAGTTGAAGTTATGATTATAAATCGTTAACTTTTATGTGATTTTTGGAAAAAAATAGTTGAACTGGTGCTGAAAAAGATAACATCCTTCTTGTCCAAAGAGTGTACGGAAACCACCTAGTCTAGATTGCTTTAAACTAAATGTTGAGTTATGTCTGTAATCCGGTCAGGCTGGTACTGATTTGTTATTCGTAACAACTCGAGGAATGATTGAGTAGCAGGTTCCATTAGCATAACGTATGCGACGGTTTTGGAACTAGAAGCCATCGGTAGGAAGCAAGGACTTCTAAAGGCTATACTGGTCAATAACTGGATGTTTGAGTGAGATTGTAAAGTTTCTTTTGGGATGATGCCTTTGCTGATCTTCCATGAAAATTACGGAGTTAAGGGGTATTGGAGAACAAGTCCAAAGTGCCTGGTCCGTCTGCATCCTCTTCATAAAATCAAAGAAGAAAAATGCACATGAAGGGTTTGATTTGGACCGAGTCATTGCCTATAGAGAAGAAAGCGACTTAACTAGTTTTCCTTACGTCTGATTGGAAAAGTCTACAAAGTCAAGTTCACAAATTCTGACGATAAAGTTAATAAACAATTTGAACAAAAAATTTAATGGAAAATTTGGTGCATCTTTTGGACGTAAGTGATGTCAATTTGCTCACTTAATTATAAAACTAATTCTTCAGATTATAATCTCAGTCTGTGTCTAGTTAATTACATGGACGAAAAAGTCTCCGTCAACGTAAATTACATATGGGTGGTGAACTACTCCACAGAGAGAGAAGAAACAAGTACGAATTCATTCACACCATCCACCTTAAATTAAACAGAAATTCAGAATTAGAACTTCATACTGCATTGGAACCAATTTTCTGGAGTGCTGCAGAAGGAAAAAAAAACACAAAGGAAGAGGAAGACAAGTTACACTGAGATCATTTTTCGATGGCTTGCTTGGCATGCCTTCTTGCATTGGCATTTGTTGCTGCTGAAGCACAACAGATGCAGTCGAATATAAGCCAAGGCTCTTCTTTAACACCAACCACCAACTCCACATGGCTGTCACGTTCTGGTCTGTATGCCTTTGGATTTTACAGGCAAGGCAATGGCTATGCTGTTGGGATATTTCTTGCTGGAATTCCCGAAGAGACAGTCGTGTGGACTGCGAATCGAGATGATCCGCCATTCTCCAACAATGCCACCTTGCGCTTCACAGGTGACGGCCTTGCCTTGCCAACAGCAGAAGGCCAAAATTACTTGGTAAAATCTTCTAGCTCTGCTTCTTATGCTTCCATGCTCGATTCGGGTAATTTCGTGCTGTACAACTCTAGTCGGGAAATAGTATGGCAGAGCTTTGATCATCCAACCGACACCCTTTTGCCCGGTCAACGCCTTTTATCAGGAAACGAACTTTTCTCTGCGAAATCAGAAGCTGATCACTCAACGGGGATTTTCCGTCTCAAAATGCAAAATGATGGAAACCTTGTTCAGTACCCTGTAGATACTACAGACACCAGACCTTACGCTTTTTATTCATCTTCAACTTCTGGCGCGGGAGAGAATGTGACACTTAATTTTGGTGCTGATGGCCATCTCTACTTGCTCAACAGGAATGGTACGAATATTCGGAATATAACAGAGGGAGGTCTTCCTGCTGATGAAGGAAAACTTTATCTTATGAGAATTGATGTAGGTGGGATATTTCGTTTGTATTCACATGATTTGAAAAAGAATGCAATTTGGTCAGTTGAGTGGGAGTCTTCCAAGGATAAGTGTGTTCCTAAAGGCCTATGCGGATTGAATAGCTATTGTGTCTTAATTGATCTAGAGACTGACTGTAAATGTCTTCCGGGATTCGAATCTGTTAACCAGGGAAATCAGACATCCGGGTGCGAGAGAAATTTTGTTGCGGATGCGTGCAAAAACAGGAATGAGAATTTCACTTACACCATGGAAGAGCTGGAAAGCACAACATGGGAAGATGTTTCGTATATGAGTTTGAGATTATCCGACAAAGATGATTGCATACAAGGCTGTCTGGAGGATTGTAACTGTGAAGCTGCGCTTTTTGACGGTACAAACTGCAGAAAGCAGAGGCTTCCTTTGAGATATGGTAGAAGAGACACTGGAACTTCAGACAGAGCTCTCATCAAGGTAGGTGTACCTACAAAACCAGATACAGATCCTAGAATCTTTCAACCAGGAAGCAAGAAAAAAGGTAGACTGACATCCTGATTATTGGTCTTTCATTCACTGCTTTTGGATCCATTTTGTTGTTGATTTCCGTGATTGTGTGGTGGAAACACAATGTCTGGGCATATAAAAGAATGAGTGCTGTGAATGGTGACCTTGAATTGAATGAGGGTGTGGCTCTGCGACGATATGCTTATGAAGAGCTAGAAGAGATGACTAATAATTTCAAGGAAGATCTTGGTAGAGGAGCCTCGTCAACAGTTTATAAAGGGCTGATTTTGGGTACCCAAAAGCCAGTTGCTGTCAAAAGATTAGAGAAAGTTGCAGCCGAAGGGGAAACAGAATTTCAGACTGAGATCAGAGTTATTGGGAGAACCCATCACAAGAATCTAGTCCATTTACTTGGGTATTGCCTTGACGGAGCTAAAAAGCTTTTGGTGTATGAGTACATGAGCAACGGCTCACTTGCAGATGTGCTCTTCACCCGTGAAAGGCAACCATTTTGGGAAGAAAGAATGGGCATTGCTCGTAACATAGCGCGGGGGTTTCTTTATCTCCATGAAGAGTGTGATACACAGATCATCCATTGTGACATAAAGCCTCAAAATATACTACTAGATGAGTTCATGTGCCCAAAAATCTCCGACTTTGGATTGGCAAAGCTGCTTAAGGCAGACCAAACTAGAACAACTACCGGAATCAGAGGAACCAAGGGGTATGTTGCACCGGAGTGGCATAGGAAAATGCCGATAACGGTTAAAGCAGATGTTTACAGCTTCGGAATTGTGCTGTTGGAGATCATATGTTGTCGAAGGAACGTGGATTGGAGTCTTCCTGAGGAGGAGGCTATTTTGGATGAATTGGCCTACAACTGTTTTGAGAAGGGTGAACTTGGCAAATTAGCGGGTGATGAAGAGATAGAGAGAAGGCAATTTGAAAGGATGATTAAAGTGGGACTTTGGTGCATCCAGGATGAGCCATCGCTCCGTCCCTCTATGAAGAAAGTTCTGCTGATGCTGGAAGGGACCGTGGACATCCCAACCCCTCCCAGTCCAAGTTCTTTTTTCAGTGCCATTTAAATGAATGCCTGTGTCTCAAGAGTGAAGTGGCTCTGGTTCCAAATTCCTATCTGATGCTGATATGCTTGCTGTTTTCCTTTTCTATGTACCACAACTCTATCATGTATGATATTATTATAGTTTGGCTTCCTCTTGTAATCTATATTTCTTTCATCCGTTTTACTTTGAAGAGAGGTCGATTGTTTTGGATATGAGGGAATTTGGCTTTATTTTAAATTTTCTGTGATTCCCTTGACGAGTGCACCTTCTGGCTTTATTTTAAGCTTTCTGTTGTTGAGTGCTTTTGTCTTGATGTGCATACGAATTATTTGGTGTTTTTTGTTCAGTTTGCCAGGAGATGAAGATTGATGTGCGTCCAAATTTTTTTAAAAATTGGTTACCGGTTATATAAGTTGTCAAGTGTTTCCCTCTTTTTGGCCGAGGCAGCCGACGAAAGGAACTTTTGGTCCTTTTTCTTTTTTTGAGTGTGGGGCGTGACACCAAGCTACGAATTTGGCTTGAATGGAATGTGAGTGTATGTTGCGTCCGAGATTTGACTTTAATCAAACGATTGTTCGGCCGAGCAAGGAACTTCCTCACGGCCTAAGTTCTTTTACTACCTCGAGGTCAAGGCTTTATGTTAGCAACCAAATAATATGGAACGGGTGGAGATGAAGATTGAAGGTGAAATGTAATGAAACGAAGAACAAGTGTGTAAAGTAAAGGTGTTTAAAATTAAATATAATTTAAAGATAAATGCGTAAAGTAAAGTACATAAAATAAATAACGTAAAGTAAAGTGTGTAAGATAAATAACGTAAAGATGAGAATTAAAGCGGGATAAAATAAATCAAAGCGATAAATAAACAAGAACGAAATAAGAACGATAAGAATGGTAAACTAAGTTAAACTTGAATTTAAACTTAATGAAAATACGATAACAATAAAAAGTAAAGCAATTTAAATAAACTTGAATTTAAATGACAAGAAATATAAATTGAACAAGAATTTAAACTCACACTAGGAAAAGGAAGAACTCGCTACACTAAGTGCTTGAAAAGTAAAATCCTAAGTCTAGGAAAAGAAAAGTGCGAGACGAAAAATAGGTTTGTTTGTCTAATGATGTGTGTCTTTTTCCTTCGTTTTGTGAGGTTTCTAATGGGCTTCCGTCAGCCCATGGGGTTGGCCATTAAATGGCCAAATATCAAATTTTTTAAAACTCTTTCCTTTTGAAGCCCCTTGAATTTGTGGGATCACATTGGTGGAAATATTCTGATTGCTTTATTCTCTCATGTTTTGGAATACGTTGAACTATCATCAATTTCCTTGATTTGTTTCCTTGTGAAGCCTCCATCATGTGCATATAACCCTCTGAAAATCCTAGACTCAAATAGGTGTCTTAGGTTTGATCATCCAAGTTCTCTTAGATGGCCAACTACATAAAATAATCACATTGTGATTGCCCAAAATCCCTCAATTTGGCCCATGAAAAAGACCCAGTCCATATTCATATTTGTTCACTTATGCATATTATATAAACACAAAATTAGATAAAAGAGGGCTCTGTTTGGACCAAAAAGAAATCTAAAAAGCGCAAGCCCAGAAAGGAACGAAGGACTGGGCTTTAATTCCAAAAAAGAGAATCCAATCCACATCAGAAGCTCACGTCCTTTTTCGAAAAGGTAGAGTTGTAAAAAACACCAAATTAAATGGCGGTTACAACTAAGCAGATCGATAAAAGTAGAATTGAATTGGACCCAGTTTCTAAATCTTACCATTACTCTCAAAGAAGCCCAGGAACAAGTGAGTAGATTTTTTCTAGAAAACCTATTCTCAAGAAAGCCCACATGACTACCTGACTTTGAAAAGTCAACAATTTTGACTAGTCACAAAGGAATTTGACAGGGAATTAATGAAGGCAGTCTTGCAGGAAGATTTCTCCAGTCTTTCACAGATAGAGAAAAGATCAAAATCCCTTTCTATATACAGAAAAATTCGACATGCACCATTTCCAAATGATAAGCAGACTAAATTTTCTAAAGAGATAAGTAAGAAGTAGGGAGTTGTTCATCTGCAAGATCAAAACTATCCATCACGACAGTTTGAACTCTTACAAAGAGCAGTTAAAATTAAAAGAAGGATTAGGCTTTCAAGAAAAACAGGGAAGTGATTGCCTTATAACTGACTGTTGATGGTTTACTTGCCAGAATAGATAAAACCCATTTTTCTTTGACATTTAAAAAATAAAAGATCTTGTTTTTTGAAAATCTGCCGTCCTTTTTAAAAAAGATTAAATAAAAAAACCCACTCCAGCATTTCCCATAAATATGAGAGAAGGTGAACAAATCAGAGGACAGCCAAAACATCAATCAAAAAAACAAAAACTCAAAATGATCACTTGATCCCAAAAAACCTTCAAAACCCTAAAGCAACCAAAAGGTCATTTGAGCCACAAGAAAGAAGTCAGCCACAATTCAGAATCCCTAACTTCAATTCAGACTTAGAGAAACAAGTCATTCAAAATGGGATTTCTCTCATTACAAATTTGGTTCAGTATAAGCAAAATCAAGCAGAGTTCAGGTTTTACAAATATGAAAACCTCAACAAATTTATGGAGAGCCCTAATCAAGCAGAACAGGTACCACAATGCAGTTCCAGCTCAATAATCATTAAGTCCAGCCACTTCTGCCCCTTCCAGACTAAAGAGGTTCCAATTCTGCCCATTCAAAAAGCCTTACAGAGCTTGAAATAAATTAAAGCTCTGCCAAACTCAAATGTTAGTATCGATTTACAGTTGAAACTTGATAGTTAAAGGTGTTGATAGTCTAGTCCAGCACAGGCATACCCAGTCCAGCTCGGATCAAAGGCATCTATCCAGGCAGAAATGGAAGTCCAACCCTCTTTTTATCTTTTTTAGAGTTGGTTTTCCTTTTTGAGGTTTGTAAAAGGCAGTTCTACCTAAAACAGTTCACTTTCTTATCATTTATTCTGGCCAGAACTACCAGTTTTATACTGTGAAAAGAACTTACTTGGGAGATATTCCTCACCCAAATTCACAATCACTTGTTTAGAAATTAATAACTTGGGGCGCAAGTTATCTATTTTTTTAAGAAGTCTGCTAGGATTTTCATTGCTAACAGTGGCACGCTCGCACACAAAACAAAGTTGACTTATTGACCAGTCAATGGTTTTCGAGACAATGGGGAACTTTACCATATCGTCACAGGAACAAATATAAAACGGGTGAACACTTTGGCATGCCCAGTGGGATTTCTCAGTATACATACTCCTAGAAGAATTTTCTAAAGTATATGAATATTGGAAGTTCTAGCCAATATCCACGTTGTGCCATGGAAAGAGATAAAACAGCTCTCTGGGAAGGACTGGAGTCAGAACAAAGTGATGCTAGGCAATCAACTCATGGCAGTACCAGGAGTAGACGTTCTAGGTCTTGCTCAAGAAGGTTGAACCAGATACAGGAGGCTGTGTTCTGGTAAGAGGCCACAGCACAATGGAGACAGGATACTCTAAAAAACATGACAGTCATGATGCAATGGCAAGTTAACAGGCAGTTCAGGTAGGACCATGAAGCTGCTATTGCCAGAATTCCAAACCCACGTGGAGAGATCCAAGCTAGACAGAGGGGAGGAGCACTTCCCATCCAAGAACATGAGGCTCCACCTCGTCTAGAAGGTCCTACACTAGTTCAGGCCCCCTAGAATCAGCTAGAACCTCTACCTGTTGGCTGCACAAATCTCACGGCCTGGTGCTCCGGGCTGAAGGGATGTGCGTTAACACGTGACGTCCTTCTTTTGGATGCGGTGCGGTTGTGCGTGGGCGTGCCAGCACGGTCTACCGTGCGTCGAGATGGTGATGAGGTTTGGGTAGAAGATGGTTAAATGATGCGCCTGTTTTGAGTTCGACTCCTAATCAAACGATTGTGGCCGAGAGAGGAACTGATCTCGGTCGTCAAGTTCACGACATGAGCTACAAGGCCGTTTAGTGGTGGTGTTGGTGGCATGTTTTAGGCGGTGCTCCGGCGCGTTGCTCAGAGAACGATGGTCGTATGATATATGGGGTGAATGAGATGATAACAGAGATGGTGCTCCAGCGCCCTGAAAATCAAGGGTCGTATGATATATTGATGAATGGATTTTCCTTACAATCTACCACTACTCCTAGGAAAGCAAATAAAGGTATTGAAAGTGCATTACAGGAAAATATAATTTGCTCCGTGAGAGGCTTTTGGTTTGGTGTTTGAACCCTTTGAATGTAGTCTTGAGCTTAGTATTTATAGGGGGAGTCCTGGAGGGACAATCGAGGCTGAAAAGATCTGCGTGGTGAAGCCTGATCGGGGCAAGTGGGTAGTCAAATCGGCATTTGGGATCGTGAGGCATGGTGGTGTGACCCCCATAAATCCTGGTAAATCTCGGCCACCGCCTTGATCTTGGATTCTGCCCCCTTGGCCTTGGGAACGCATTTAATGCCCTGGTCTGTTGGTTGGTGATCTGACCTCAAGTTGTAAGAATTCTTGTGAGAATGTTTGCGCCTAACCACTCTAATTTCCATCACCAAACCCTGACTTCAGTCACTTCCCTTCTTCCCTCGTGCATTAAATGCTTCTTGCGACTAGTGGGTTTGCTGCGACAGTCAGAGGCATTACTTCATTAAATGGGGCGTGGGACCCTGAGGCCACGTGGCGATTTGACCACAGTATCTTTGGTCGTGTCTTTTATGGTCTTTGGCTTTGGCCTATAATACCGAGGTCGCGAGGCCGAGAGGATTCTGCCTTTGCAGCTTTTCTTTTGTTTTCAGAAAGGCGAAATGCCTAACGAAACGTGGCCGTTTCAGTTCATGAGTAGGTGCTAGGGCCGAGAGAAAGTCCCTTCAGTTAGTTTATGACTGTGATTTATTAGGCACAAACACCACCTATCCCACAATCTGTGGCCCTACGTGATCAGCCATTGACACTTCTGCCTAAGCAACCAGCTATGTTGCCCTACAGGCCTAGAAAGATGGACCCCAATCTATTCCCTCCACTAGCAAGAGGCCGGAGAGGCAAAGGGGAAATTAACCCCTTTGCCAACAATCACAGGAATAGACCAGGGGCAAACTAGAGGAATCATCTAGATTTTGAAGAAGAGGAAGAACACATGGAGGAAGTTCTGCCCAGGCCATACAGAATGGAGCACAAGATTGAGAACAACCAGCCAGAATAGGGGCGAAATCCGCATCCTGTCAATGGTTTGAATGACATGGGGACACTTCATAGAATGATCAGGGAGATGATGGAACCTGAAGCCAGAAGAGGAGAAAGGCCCACCTACAGAAAGCCATATCCGGCTCACATTGATCAGATACCTCTGTCCCCGGGTTTTAAGATACCAAACTTCACATTGTTCAATGGAGAAGACACCCATGCTTCATCAGTTGAGCATATAGGCAGATTTTCTGTCCAGTGCATAGCCATCGAAAATAACCCTCTGTTAAAACTAAGCCTTTTTGGAAATTCTCTCTCTGGACAAGCCTTCACCTGGTATACTAGCTTACCAACCAATTCAGTCCAAACCTGATAACATATGGAAAATGTCTTCCATGACTACTATTTCAGGATCTAGCTAGAAGTCACCATCAGTGATCTTGCTGCCCTCAAACAGAGTGAAGATGAGCCTGCTCAAGACTTCATAACCAGGTTCAGAAAGCTCAAAATGAAATGTCGAATCCCTATAAAAGAAAGGCACTTCATTCAAATGGCTCAAACCGCCCTTAAAATCTCTCTGGATGCTGTTTGAAGAACTAGTAGACAAAGTATCTAAATATGAGGAGCTGCTCAGGGAAGAACAACAGAAGAGGAACTCTTCCAAAGGCACATACTACAAAACCTCTTCTTCTTTAGTACACCCAATTGAGGTAGAATCAGAAGAAGACACAGAAGGCTCGGAAGAAAGAGAAATTGCAGTGGCAGAAATGGCAAGGTTGAAACATCCCATCAACTGCAATGCTCTGACAAAGCCACCAAAGGACCAGAAGCCACCACCATTCATAGGAGGGTTTGTTCCAAACAAACCAACACAGAACAAGGCCTGCCCAACGCAGCAGAAGAATGACAGAGCAACCAAAGAAAGAAATATCAATTAAGATGCCCGGAAATGACAAGTCTTTGGCAACTATCATAGAAGGTAGATGGTATTATGTTGGAAAGAGCAGTAGACCAACTCTGGAACTAACCAGAACACAGAAAATGAGAGTTCAAAGGCAATACTGTACCTTTCTCAAGAACAGGGATAACACACAGGTACTTCCAGAGACCAGTTCTACTAGAAAAGAGAAACATCTAGAAATAGCTCCTTAGGCAGAACAAACTACATGTCAGTCACAAGAGCTGACAAAGACAGAATCTCCGGGTAGACCTTCCATCAATCCTGCCTCATCCTCAGTCAATTAGCTTGAAGCTTCACAATCACAAGGTGAATCCAAACCTATTCCAGTAGAAGGACAAGAAGATTCGACTGAAGAATATGAAGAGAAGTAGTTGGATTACGAACTATCTACAAACGACCAGATTGGGCTCCTTGAAATAGGAGAGCAAGAAGATTGGACAGAAGAATATGGGGAAGAATAGATAGAGTATGATGAAGAACTAAATGAAGAAACTGAGGCTTTCGGCGCAGAATTAGAAAGCTTCATACAGGGTGATCTAGGCATTAATATGGTGTTTATCCTGCCAGAAAAGTTTAGAGCAGCAGAAAGAGAAGGAAGCACTTCGAAAGGAGACGTGCTCTCTTAGGAAAGTTTTGAGTGCAGATTGGCAAAAGTAGAGGAAGCTCAAGAACAGCAAACACTTACTGCCAAAGCAGCCAGAACTACCATGAAAGTAGTCGCAGAATAGCTTTGCTTTTCCAAACCTACCAAAGAAATGGCCAATCATCTCAGACCTCTGTTCATAACAGCAAACTTTGGGGGTGTTCCTATTCCCAAAATAATGGTAGATGGAGTGCAACCATTAATCTTCTGCCTCATAGATTGCTGATCAAGATGGGCAGAACAAAAAAGGATCTAATTCCAACACGCTTGACGGTCACCAACTTTGTTGGGGGCATCACTAAGACTTATGGAATACTAGATGCGTACGTCATAGTTGACACCACTTCTATCACTTACAATACGCTGCTTGGCAGAGACTGGATCCATCAGAGTCTATGTGTTCCTTTCACTTTGCATCAGCAGTTAGCTATTTGGCTTGAAGAAGGTTTCATGGAAATAGTAGAGGCCGATCCACGACCATTTCTACCTTGTGTCATGTGTTTTGAGGCCAGGTATTGTCATGATGATCTTGGTCCTTTTACATTCTTTGGAGTCAACCAGAACGGCCGCCCCATGGTGTCACGACCTAGAGACTCATTGAAAATGGTCTAGCGAATTCTCTAGAGGACTGGAATAAACCTTTTGTTCTAAACCTCCAGAACTCTGATGTTTAGTCCCAATCAACAAGGAAAGGATCGAGCTGCAACAATCCGATCCATTACAAAAAGATTGTTGATATATTGGGAAGAAAGGAAGCTTTTTATGTAGAATCCACCCATCAATATGGTAGAATTCACCCATGAGAGAACTAAATAACAGGAAGAGAGTTTGCACGAGGAAGTACTAGATTTTGCACCAGCAGCACTAGATGAGTCTTTACCAGAAGTGGAAGATCCATTACAGGAGATAAACTTAGGGACATGAGAAGATCCAAGACCCACTTTCATTAGTGCATTGTTGAAAGAACCACTCAAGAGTGAAATCATTGGACTATGACATGATTTTAGAGACTGGTTTGCTTGGCATTATCGTGAGATGCCTGGATTGGACAAGAAATTGGTAGAAGACAAGTTGCTAATCAAAGAAGGCTATTTTCCAGTTAAACAGGCCAGAAGAAGGATGTCTATGGAAATATAACTGAAAGTCAAAGAAGAAATAGAAAGATTGGTCGAGGTAGGCTTCATCATACTAGCCATTTATGCTGATGGGCTAGCCAATATTGTGCCAGTTCTGAAAAGAAAAACAGGGGCAGTTAGGATCTGTGTGGATTATAGAAATATAAATGAAGCATCTCCTAAAGATGAATATCCTATGCCAACGGCAGATATGCTAGTAGATAGAGCTGCTCATAATCAAATGCTATCTTTCATGGATGGCAATGCAGGATATAATCAGATTATGGTGGCAGAAGAAGACATCCATAAGACAGCCTTCATGTGTCCAGGACATATAGGTGCTTTTGAATACACTGCAATGCCCTTTGGCTTGAGAAATGCAGGAGCCACTTATCAAAGAGCCATGAATTCTATTTTCCATGACATGATAGGACATTCTCTAGAAGTATATGTAGATGATGTGGTGATTAAGTCCCCAGAAGAAGGAGATCATGTATCAAATCTGAAAAAGGCATTCCTAAGAATGAGACAACACAAGTTGAAAATGAATCACAAAAAATGTGTTTGTGGAGTTCAAGCAGGAAATTTCTTAGGGTTCTTGGTCCATCAAAGAGGCATAGAGATTGATAAAAATAAGGCAAAATTCATCATAGAAGCCCTACCACCTCGAAACAAGAAAGAATTGCAGAGTCTCCTAGGAAAGATCAACTTTCTAAGAAGATTCATATCCAATTCTGTAGGAAAAATCCAGCATTTCTCCTCCTTGTTAAGGTTGAAGCAGGAACAAACATTTAAGTGGGAGGAACAGCACCAGCAGGCTTTTAAGGAAATCAAACACTACCTCTCAAATCCACCAGTTCTATCCCCACCAAAGAGAGGCAGAACACTCAAATCATATGTTTTTGCATCAGAAGTGTCCATTGGGAGTTTGCTAGTTCAAGATAACAAGGAAAGGAAGAAACATGTAGTCTATTATCTAATCAGAACTCTGATAGAAGTAGAAAGGAAATATTCTGCAATTGCAAGACTTTGTCTAGCCTTATACTTCACTGCTGTGAAACTCAGACACTACATGTTGCCATTCACCATCTACATGATTGCCAAGACATACCTAAGCAAATACAGGTTAACAAGGCACAAGCTGTAGCAGATTTCCTACTAGATCATCCAGGGGAAGAGATTGAGAACATGGATTCCTTGGATATAGCAAATGCAGATCTATTGACTAGAGCTCATACTTGCCTTAACAATCCCATCTATTTAGTTCACCACACACCTTGAAAACTGTACTTTGATGGATCAAAGACTGATGTAGCCTCTGGGGCAAGAATTGTTTTGGAGGATCCAGCTAGATTTCCAATGCACCAACAATAGGGCTGAACATGAAGCTTTAATCATTGGCCTTGAAATACTGGTAGAATTAGGAATCCAGTCCATGGAAATTTTGGGAGATATTATGCTTGTGTTAAAATAGATTGCCAGAGAATATAAGTATTTGAATCCTTCACTAGCTGTCTATCTAGTGGTAGCCATAAATCTTCTAACAGAATTCAAGGAAGCTACTTGGAAACATATCCCAAGAGAAGAAAACTTTACAGCCAATGAAATGGCTCAGATAGCAACAGGGGTACAAATGCCTGAAGACAGTGTACAAAGGATCATCAAGGTAGGAAAGAAAAGTCTACCATCTATTCTGACTAGAGGAATGGAGATAGATGTCAATTCAGCTATAATCACTGAAGATGTCTGGAGAACTCAAGGGATGTGAGGCTTGTTAGAGGCATGGTCCAATCCAGCAGGCTCCTTCAGTTCCCATGAATCCAGTGGTTAAGCCATGGCCATTCAGAGGATGGGCAATGGATCTCATTGGCAAAGTCTATCCAGCCAGTAGCAAACAACATTGTTTTATCATTGTAGCTATAGACTACTTCACCAAGTGGGTAGAAACCTGTTAAATCTACTACATCTCAAGAGATCATCACCTTCGTAGAAGAACAGATTATACAAAGGTTTGGCATTCCAGAGTCAATCACAACTGATGGGGGATCTTCTTTCATATATGGGGAGATGCTAGATATGTCAGAAGCATTCAAATTTAAGCTACCTCAATCCACTCCTTATTATGCTCAAGCTAATGGACAAGCAGAATCAAGTAACAAGTTGATCATCAACTTTGTAAGGAAAATGCTAGAGAAAAATCCAAAGCAGTGGCCTGAGAAATTATCAGAAACTCTCTAGGCATATAGAACTTCAAAGAGAGGCAACTGGCATGACCCCATATACTCTAACCTATGGTCATGATGCAATTCTGCCTATGGAGATAGCTGTCCAATCTCTCAGAATTGCTCAGCCACACAACCTGGTTGGAGAAGACTACTCTCAAGTAATGCTGCTAGATTAGAAGGTTTGGACACCAGTAGAATTGACACCCTCAACAAACTCTTAGCAGGAAAACAGGTTGTATCAAGGTCCTATAACAAAAGAGTTAAAAACAAGAGTTTTGAAGAGGGAAAAATAGTCTGGAAAGCAATTCTGCCCCTTGGAACACACATAGCTGGTTAGAGTCTCTTGTAATCCCATTTTTTTGGTGGAGATCTTTTTCTGAAGAAGCATCCCTTGATGGAGAGAGGCCTTTGCCATTTCTAATGTTGGCCTAGAAGCTGCAACCATATTCTGCACAAGGAAAGTGGCCTTGGTCTTGGTACCCAGTCTAGCCCCAAGTTTGTTCTGCCTCTCCCTCAGCCCAACCAGCTATTTTTGAAGTTCTTCAATTTGTCTCTCCAAATTGTCAGTAGCAGTCTTGGCTTCCTTGTAGCCTGCAACCATCTGGTCTAGTTCTACCTTCTGCTTTGCATAATCAGCCAAGTTAGCTTCATGAGTAGCCTTGCAGAACTCAGAGGCCTTGAAGGAGGGCTTGAGATCCTCGTAGCGGTTGTGGAGATTGAGCACATCCCTCGCCAAACCTAAGCTGAGCTCAAGGACAGGCAGGTCCAGATCTTTCATCAGCTAGTCAAAGGCCTCACCACTATCATCCAAGTCCAGCTTGGCAGATTGCTAGATTTTCACTCTATCCACAGCCTCATCCACTACCTTGGATTTAGCTTTACTAGGAGTAGAGTTGAGCTTCGCAAGTTTGTCGAGCTGAGCATCCAAATCCATGGCTTCAAACTCTGCCAACTTTGGATCAGCAAAGGAGGCCATGGTAGATGAACCTGGGAGAGAATGGATAGGCATCTACAAAAAGAACTCAGGTCAGTTTTCAGGCAAAGTCAGAATAGAAAAAAGAAGGACTAAGGCACAGTAAATACTTACAGCAACAATAGAAGGCTTGATAGAATTGGTTAGCACAGTTAGAGTTCCGGCAGTTTTGTTCTCTTTTACTTGGGAAAATGGGAATATCAATTAAGAAAAACCAAAAACATATGGGATTGAGAAAGCCAGGATATGATTTAGGAAACTAGAGGTTACCTCATATACAAGGACTGCAACAGAATGTTCCACCTCCACTTCAGGTTCTGGAGCTACAACAGGAAGTTTCGCCTCTTCCATGGGCTCTGATACAGAATGCTTTGCTTGCTCCACAGGCCCTGGAATTGCAGTGGAGTGTTCTGCCTCCACATCATCAAATAGGGCCAACTCTGAGCTTATGGGCTCTACTCTCTGAGCTTCTTGTTGTTGTTTGGCCAAGGCAACGCTTTCTGCTATTATCACAGCAGGAATCTCCTCCTGCAGACGGATAGAAGTTAGAAGTTAGAAGAAGAATAGACACAAAAGTTCATGCAGTAATAATAGAGTCTCACCTCTTCTTCAAAATCCTTGTTCTTGTCTTTTAAAGGGACATCTTCTTCTTCTTGCTCCTTCTCCTGCTCTACAGCTTCAAAGGCCTCCCTTAGCTCTTCATTTGCTCCAGAAGTGGTTGTGGGAGTTGCTGCAGGTTCTTCTGTGGCCTCATACTCCACCATAGTCCAATTTCTAAGTCCTTTTGACTTAGTAGGAGGGGGATGAGGACTCTCAGCTGCAATGAACAGGTAATAAATTATTAAAACAAGAGCTGAATTGAATCAAGATAGAGTGGGACATAATCGAGAAGGCTCAAACTTTCAAGATTTACCTTAAGTCTCAGGCTGGACAACATTATCATGGACTGGAGCAGTCTCTTTTCTCTTGTTCCTTCTACCAGAAGGGGTCGCCTCAATAGCTGGTTGTTCTGTCAGTGTTTCATCCTCCTCATCTCCGAAGGGAAGCTCCAAGTCTCCAGCAACAATGACAGAAGTGACTGCACAAGAAACGAACAAGTTAGAAGTCAATCCAGCAGGAAAATAATAGAAGAAACAGAATGATGGAAAGCTTACCAATCACTTCTCCATCTTGGATAGCTTGTCTGCCTATGTTCTTTATCGGGAGGGATCTGTTACAGAGAAAACAAAATGTTAGACACAGAATCAAGAATCTACCTTCTATGACTTGAGCATTAAGGTCTTTAATGGTCTGCACCATGAAGTTCTTGGCTTCTACCTCTGCATAGATGGTCCAAGACTCCCAACCATCAAAAAGTACTTTGAGGGCAATACTTGAGGCATGCAGGCAGACCTTGGAATCTGGCTTTCCACCAAGCATCAAATTCGGTTCCTAGGATGAGACTTTTGCCCCCAATTGATAATTTGGAGGCTTTCCACCTCCATAGGGCAGGTCTGTCAGCAAGGTTACACTCAGGAACTTATTCCTGAAGTCAATTATGGCCACTTCTTCCTCTAGTTCCTTCTCAAATAGTCTGAATCCATGTTGGAAACAAGGATATGTTCTTCTGATCATCACCTGCCACTGAGCTGCAGATCTCTTAGTGCAACGCCGGAAGAACATTAGCTACTCTTCGATGGAACGCTTGGGCACTTCTGCAGACATCAAGGGAAGTGCCATCACCGGTCTTCAGGCAAAACGATGTCTGGGAACCTCAATTCTGGGAAGTATACTTGAAGCCATATCTGGATCATCCAGAATGCGCTAGGAGTAGAAAAGTTCAGGGGATTCTCCAGAGTAGCGATGTGCAGATTCTTGTATAAATGGGCCAGAACCATTGGACCAAGCCTCACATCAGTGTGATTACGCAGAGCCTTTGCCAAATGCTTGTAGTCAAGCAGAATTGCTGAGGAACAGTTGGGGAAGACAAATCTATTCAGCTAATACAGAAGGAACAACATGTGCTGTTGATCTCTATCTCCCTCTGTGCTGAACTTCTTCAAATAGTTTGAGAACGAGCAGTTTTGGTTGATGGTGGCAAGCGAGATAGTGAAGGGCTTGGCCAATTTCTCCTGATTTTTCCTTTGGAGATAGTCACCAACAGCATCGACAGGCCTTCCATGAGGCATAAACCCAAAAATCTGAGCCATATCAAGCAGAGTTGGAGTCATTGGGCCTAGGTGGAAGTCGAAAGTGTTACTAACAGAATTCCAGAAACACAAAGCAACGGCCAAAATATTCTCATCCGTTTTTATCAACTGCTTGGATAGAAGGATGGCATCATAGATTCCAGCCCTCTTCCAGTGAACTCTATATCTTGGAAGAAGTTTATCGATCCAATCTGCCCACTTCACCATATTGTTCCTCACTTCACTAGAGGGAAAAGAGCGACTCAGGTTCTTGCTAACCCAAGTATGGGATGCCAAGGCAGAAGAGCTTTGGAAACATAGGGGAGCTTTAGCATCATCCTTGAACAAAGCAACCATTTCAACAAGGACAGAGACGAACCAGTGAGGGCCTAGAACCCAGGTGTTTTCAAAAAGGTGAAGGACATTTTTCCAAATTCTTTTGGGCAAAAGGGTGAAGCTTGCTACGAACCTCTATGGCGTGATTATCAACACCATCTCCGGTGAGATAAGCAAGAGATCGTGAAGAAGAAGAGCCCTTGGCACGAGTGTTTGGAGAAGACATTTTTTCTCAAATTCAAACGAATAGAGGGGGATTGAAAAGGGACGGAACCAAAAAGAACAAAGGGTTTCAAAGAAAGGAAAGTTGAGACAGAGCTAGGTTTTTTATAAACAGCAATGGAGTTAGGCAAATTTTATAAATTGAGCAGGAAGATCGAGGGAGAGTGGGAAGAAAGGAGTTTTGTTCACATTTAATTAGCTGTTAGAACCCATTTCCCCATGAAGCCTAATTTAATAGGCAGACGTGCGATAGTGCAATGGCAGGAAATGGCGCGCATCATTGATTGGTCAATCATTAAGTCTAAAACCGTCTTAAAATGATTCAAACTTAAGGGGCATTGTTTGGGCCAAAAAGAAATCTAAAAAGTGCCAGCCCATCTTCGCAAAGAAAGGCCCACAAAACAGAAAGGAACTGAGGACTGGGCTTTGATTCCTAAAAAGATAACCCAATCCACATCAGAAACCCACGTCCTTTTTTTGAAATGGCAGAGTTGTAAAAAATGCCAAATTAAATGGCGGTTACAACTAAGCGGATTGATAAAAGAAGAATTGAATTGGGCTCTAAATCCTACCATTACTCTCAAAGAAGCCCAGGAACAAGTCAGTAGATTTTTTGTGGTAAACCTATTCTCAAGGAAGCCCACATGACTACTTGACTTTGAAAAGTCAACAATTTCAACTAGTCACATGGGAATTTGACAGGGAATTAATGAAGGCAATCTTGTAGGAAGATTTCTCCAGTCTTTCATAGACAGAGAAAATATCAAAATCCCTTTCTATATACAGAAAAATTCGGCAGGCACCATTTCCAAAGGATAAGCATACTAAATTTTCTAAAGAGAGAAGTAGGAAACATGGAGTTCTTCATCTGGAACATCAAAACTAACCACCACGGCAGTTTGAACTCTTACAAAAAGCAGTTAAAATTAAAAGAAGGATTGGGCTTTCAAGAAAAACAAGGAAGAGATTGCATTAGAACTAACTGTTGATGGTTTACTTGGCAGAATAGATAAAAACCCCTTTTTCTTTGACATTTAAAAAAGATTAAATAAAAAAAACCGAGTCCAGCATTTTCCATAAATATGAGAGAAGGTGAACAAATCTGAGGAATCAATCAAAAAACAAAAACTCAAAATGATCACTTGATCCCAAAAAACCTTCAAAACACTGAAGCAACCAAAAGCTCATTTGAGCCACAAGAAAAAAGTCAGCCACAATTCAGAATCCCTAACATCAGTTCAGACTTAGAGAAATAAGTCATTCAAAATGAGATTTCTCACGTTACAAATTTGGTATAGCATAAGCCAAATCAAGCAGAGTTCGGGTTTTACAAATATGAAAACCTCAACAAATTTATGAAGAGCCCTGATGAAGCAGAACAGGTACCACAATGTAGTTCCAACTCAGTAATCATTAAGTCCAGCCACTTCTACCCCTTCCAGACTGAAGAGATTCCAATTCTGCCCATTCAAAAAGCCTTCCATGGCTTGAAATAGATTAAAGCTCTACCAAACTCGAGCGTTGGTATCGATTTATAGCTGAAACTTGATAGTTGAAGGTGTTGATAGTCTAGTCCAGCATAGGCATACCCAATCCAGCTCGGATCAGAGGCATCTATCCAGGAAGAAATGGAAGTCCAGCCCTCTTTTTGTCTTTTTTAGAGTTGGTTTTCTTTTTTGAGCTTTGTAAAAGGCAGTTCTGCCTTAAACAGTTCACTTTCTTATAATTTATTCTGGCCAAAATTATCAGTTTTATACTGTGAAAAATTGTGAAGCCCTCACCAGTCTGAGGCAAGAAAAGAACTTCCTTGGGAGATATTTCTCACCCAAATTCACAATCGCTTGTTTAGAAATCAGTAACTTGGGGCACAAGTTATCTGTTTTTTTAAGAAGTCTGCTAGGATTTTCATTGCTAGCAGTGGAAAACTCGTACACAAAAGAAAGTTGACTTGTCGATCAGTCCATGGTTTTCTAGACAATGGGGAACTTTACCCTACCATCACGGGAACAAATATAAAACGGGTGAACAGGCTCAATTTAAAGTCCTCCAGTCCGGCCGCAAAGACCAATGTCCCAACCGTATATATGTATTTATTATATATATATATATGTATATATCCTACAGAACCATCAGCCCGGTTTGCAAAACTCTCAAAGACTTCAGCCTGCAGAAATTGTAGCCGCAAAAAAGACCAAATCCCGGCCACCAAGCTTCCCTTTGAGCCTCCAAACCCGGCTGACCACAATCTCTAGTAGCCAAAAGGCCCAAGGCACCGGTCGTAGAGATCCTTGCAGCTCGTCATGCCTCTGGTAGAGAAAAAACTGGGCATCAGCTTCAACATTCCGGCCACACCTTCCAACATACCCCTGCCATGAGATATCCTAGTAGTTCTGGTCGTGCCTAGCCGAATGTTGCAGCCCTAGCCACTTTTGAGCACAGCCCAACCAGTCGCACTTTGAACTATGCCTGGCCTTATCTCAAACGACCCCCTACAGCATCTCGCTCCAGCCCAGCCTTGCCCTTCAGCTTCCATGAAATCCCCAAGGTGCGGCTGCAAGAATCCCCCGGATCTGGCCTGCTAAAAACCTCAAGGCCCAACCTGCCACACCTTGGATTTCACCTGGCCAATAAACTCCAGCAGATTCGCCAAGCCATTTTTGAGTCTCCACTACAAATGCAGCCCGACTAGCTTTTTGCAAGAGGAGTGGCTGACCAAGGTATTTAAGGAGTGCCCGGCCCACCTTTTTGAGATGTGCCATTGCCTTTGAAGAAAACACATCGGTTGCATTTTTGAGAAGGCACCATGGCCTTTGAAGAAAACATATTGGCCACCTTTTTGAGAAGGCATCTCGGCCGCTAAGAATTCCTCCTTAGCAGATTGGGTGAATTTTGACCACCCCCAAACATCAAGTTTCTGTTTTTTGTTAATATTTAACACAAATACAATTGCACAAGGATGCCCTTTTTGTTTGGCAATTGGCATATGATTTGACATGTTATTTTTCAATTGAGTTTATTCTATTTGACTCACGATGACATGCTTATGAATTTCGCAATGACTTTTTTATTTTTTTTATAAATCTAAAGTTACTGTTTTAGACTCTTTTTTTCTTGAGAACCATTTCGGACCTTTTTTTTTTCTTTCTGATTTCAATATGTCACCTCAATGTAGCTCTACTCAAGTTCATTATGAGTTGCTGGTTTTATTTATACGAACTATGATAGCTAGTTGTGGTTAATTCCTCTGTATTTTATGCCTAGTTTTTTTAAAATCAATTGAGGTTGATAGTTTTAATTTTTTGTTTCTTTTGTTTCATAAAATTGATGAAAAGCTTGAAAGTCTTTATCCATTAGATTTTTTCTCCTCGAGTTTTGCCTATGTAATTGGTTGAAATCAATTTCTAAAATAAGAACTATATTAATTGTTGAACTCTATGTTACATAGTTGTACTTTCGTAGACATCCACGAAGTATTATACATTTATATTTTTTTCTAACATGGCCATGGATTTTATAATACATTCTTAGGATTAAAAGTCAAGAAAAACAAGTATAAAAGTAGAAAGTTTACAAGTTTTCTCGCAGATGACAAGATTTTTAGCTGTGTTTACAAGGATAATGACATAATTTTACTCCTCCAAAGGCCATTCTTACCTTGGTATTGTGTCATTTTCTTTGTCAATTAGGGTATTACAGTGTCATGGACTAGGGTGGACCATAATGTTGTTACAATTATTTCAATTATTTCACAACATTTGCAGATATTTTTCATGATTCATGAGTTAGAGGTTGCTTTATATAACTTGTAACCAAAATCAATAAAACTTGGGTAACTTTATATAAATCCAATTGGCCAAACTGATATTTTTTTTTTCTTTTTTTAACTTGTAATTTTTTATTTTTTAATTTTTAAAACATTTTTTTTTTTTTTTTTTTTTTTTTGTTTTTTTTTCTTAGATGTGAATAAATTACTATAAGGAACTAAAATACGACTACATAGTATAACTCGTTTACGCATTTAATATCAATCGATGATAAGATATTCAACTTTTAAGACATAATATCAATAAATATCCACTTATATTATAATAAATATTATATGACCATACTCTGAAGCCACACTATAATTACTTCTCAAGATGATATATTATTATGTAAAAATATATATGTATTAGTGCTTATTCTAAAAATAACTTTAAACAAATGTCTTATAACAAAAGATGAATCATAGCATCTTCCAATAAAAATTTCCCTTATGATCCTTCTCTGTTTTTGGTTCATATCTTCGTAATATAATTGGTTCATGTTCCGATCAATAAAAAAAATGTTATATAAGAATATATAATAATATAATACTTAAATAAACTTTATAATCAATATATAATACATAAATATGATATTTACATATAATATATACAATTTCAACTAAAATACTCGAAATTTTATATAAGTATGTAACATAACAAAATACTAAATGAGGTAATGAAGGGGAAGAAAGTAATTGAATTACCATCTCATTCACTTCTCATGTACAAAATTTTAGAATTCAAGCTAATGCTAAAATAATTTGAATATGACTCATAGGATATTCAAAATATGCTTTTACAAACTTATTTCTATGCCTAAACAAATAATTTAATACATTGTCATCCTCATATTCATGTTCCCACACCAATTTCTCTTATGATCCTCCTCTGATTTTTGGTTCATATCCTTGTTATATGGGTTTCCCCTTTCCCATCCATAACAAAATTGTTTAATAAGAATATCCACTATAAATATAGTATTTACATATAATATGTATAATTTCAACTAAAATGCTAAATTTTTTATATACGTATTGTAATATAATAAAATACTAAATTGGGTAATGGAGGAGATGAAAGTTACCAATCTCAAAGCTTCCCATGTAAATCCTCATTTTATAAGGACATAAATCAACATTACAAGGAATTGGTAAGTGTGGACCTTAAGGATATAAAATGGGGTCCTTATTCTAGTAAACATGATGGTTTACAAGACTAAGGACCGGTATTACAATAGTTTGGATACGAGAGTACCATAACATTGTAAGAGGATCCCAAAACTTATAAGTCACAAGATTTGGGTAGCGATTTACAAGTTTTTAAACCATGATTACAACATTAGGGTTCACCTAATCCATAATGTTATAAATTCCCATTTACAAGGATATAGATCCACATTACAAGGAATTGGTAACTCCGGACCATGAAGATATAAATTGAGTTTATTCTTGTAAAATGAGGGCTTACAAGATTAAGTGCCAATTTTACAATTTTGGGATACGAGGGTACCATAACCTTGCAAGGAGGATCCAAAAACATGTAAGTTACACGACTGGGTAGTGATTTACTAATTTTTGTACCACGATTACAACATCAGGGTTCTCATAATCCTTAATGTTGTAAATTCTTATTTCACAAGGATATGGATCGACATTACAAGGAATTGGTAAGTGCGCACCATGAGGATGTAAATTGGGGTCCTTATTATAGTAAAATGAGGGTTTACAAGATTAATGGCCGATTTTACAATTTTGGGATATGAGGGTACCAAAACATTGTAAAAAAAATCCCTAAACTTGTAACTTACAATTTTTTGGTAACAATTTACAAGGTTTTGCTCCTGGATTACAACGTTAGGGTTCACCAAATCCACAATGTTGTAAATCAGCATTTTAGAAGGATATGGATCCACATTACAAGGAAATGGTAATGATGGACCTTAGCGATGTAAAATGGGTCATTATTCTAGTAAAAAATGCTTTACAAGATTAAGGACTGATGGTACCATAACGTCATAAAGAGAATCCCTAAACTCATAACTTACAAGTTTTTTGTAACAATTTACAAGGTTTTGCTCATGGATTACAACGTTAGGGTTCACCAAATCCATAATGTTGTATCAGCCTTTTATAAGAATATGGATCCACATTACAAGGAGTCGGTAATGGTGGACCTTTGGGATGTAACATGGGTCCTTATTCTAGTAAACAATGGTTTACAAGATTAAGGACCAAGGGTACCTTAATGTCGTAAAGAGAATCCCTAAACTCGTAACTTACAAGTTTTTGGTAACAATTTACAAGGTTTTGCTCCTGGATTACAACAACGTTAGGGTTTACCAAATCCATAATGTTGTAAATCACCATTTTACAAGGATATGGATCCTCATTACAAGGAATTGGTAATGGTGGACCTTAACGATGTAAAATGGGTCATTATTCTAGTAAATAATTTTGTTAAAAGTTTAAGGACTGAGGGTACCATAACATCATAAAGAGAATCCCTAAACTTGTAATTTACAAGTTTTTTATAACAATTTACAAGGTTTTGCTCCTGGATTACAACGTTAGGGTTCACCAAATCCATAATGTTGTAAATAAGTCTTTTACAAGAATATGGATCCACATTATAGAGAATTGGTATGGTGGACCTTTGGGATGTAAATGGGTCCTTATTTTAGTAAACAATGGTTTACAAGATTAAGGACCGAGGATACCTTAACGTCGTAAAATGGGTCATTATTCTAGTAAATAATTTTGTTAAAAGTTTAAGGACCAAGGGTACCATAACGTCGTAGAAGAGTGTTCCTTATTGTTCTAAAAACAAGAATTTACAACATTAAAGAATCATTTTATAATAGGTGGGACCTGAGAGTTCCATAATATTGTAAAGTATATCCCTAATCTTGTGGGTTACAGGATTTGGGTTCCAGTTATGAGATTTCGCATGGTGATTACAACATCAAGGTTCACTTTAATCCATAATAATGTAATGGCCTAATTTACAAGGGTTTACAACATTAAGGACTCATGTTGCACTATTTTGGAAATGAAGATTCCCTAAACTTGTAAATTGTATCCATAATCTCGTAGATTACAAGATTTTGGTTCTCATTTGCGAGATTTCACATCTCTATTACAATTTACAACTTTGAGATTTATCCTAATACATAATGTTTCAATAGCCTAATTTACCTTTGACATAGGTCGTTTGGCAATTTCTAATCAGGTAGTCAATTTTCACAAATTAGAATGACAATTATGTGGTGCCTGTTCGTCGATTACAAACTTGACGTGGCTGAGTGAAAGCAAAATATGCAACTTGATGTGACTCACGAAGGCATGCTTATGAATTCGTAATGGCATAATACTTAACATGTGAAAATATAATGCTTCATAACTTTATTTATGTCAATCCGCATTTTCATTCAAATATTTGTCAATATAAAGCATGAATTATTATTTTTGATTTTTTGGTCATGATAACAACAATATAAAGCATGGATTTGTAAAATCGTGTGTATGTTATTGATTAACACATTAATTGCATAACCTGCTAAAAATACAATTAAGTTTGAATGATTTGATATTATTTATTGATTATGAATTTTGGTATTCGTATACTAACAATGCAAAAGTGCAAAAGTTGTTCCACAAATTGGCAATTACGTATTGGGATTCCAAACGTTGCCTCGCTGTTCAAAAAAGTAGTATGATATGACAACATTCACAAGGAAAATATAATTTCAACCAAAAAAGCGAGGAAAATATAATTGCATCCATGTTTAATCATGAGTACATAACAAAATTTATATACGTAGTTGGAGCATTAATTTAGTGGGTACACAAATAATGGCAATTGTGCAACTGGAATGCAAATGGAACTCCTTTGTTTGTCAATTGTGTGACTAGAATGCAAATGATACTACCTATTGGTCAATTCAATTGACAAATCACATATTTTATTTACATTCTCAAAATTGAAAAGGGTGTCAGTAACATGACAATAAGCATACAATAATCTCAAAATACAACTCTATGGTACAATTGCAAACTGTAAATGCAATTTACGTGCTTATCTCGATTTCTATTTTTTAAAATTTTTTGTTAACAATAAAAATGGGAGTATACTAGTACTCCAAGTGTCATAACCGACACAAAGAAGACCGTGTTTGTACTCAAGGATTGAAATATCGGCCGATACACCGATATATCGGTATTTTCAACTGTCGACACCGATACTGGGGGGTAAGGCCAAATCTTCCCCTGTATCGACGATATATCCCCGATAAGTGCGATATTCTCGATATTTTGCCGATATCCCCGATATTTCCCGATACCCATAATTGAACCCAAAAAAATTTCAGAAGTTTTGAAGGCAATTAAAGCAAATTGAAACCCAAAAATAGCTAATCCTTGCTCAAAACCCTATAATTTATTAATATGAAGAATCTATGCACAATCCACTACCCACATATCTCCAATCCATTTGAAGAGGACATTGCGTTCAGTTTTGGATCTATGAGCATAGGAACTAGACCTAGTACTAACTCAAATGAATCTTATGATGTCTATGTCTATGTTTATGTCATGTCTAATTATAGTGGAACTAGTTATGAAGCTCAAGATGATAAAAAAATTATGGACCTACTAGTTGGTTAATCCTAACTATCCCATATATGGGAGGACAATAGGGAGCTCCAGAGAGACCTATGTGCACTATGTTCAAACATGACTTACAAACTGCTCGGGTTACTTGACTTTGTATGACTATTATATGAATCTAGATGGTTGTTCCTCATTGTTTGAACCTCATTGAAGCTCTTCATTTATGTAGATGGACACTTATCTAAATTGTAATACAATGTTTAAACAAACTATGGATTTATGCATGGTTTATTCATTCTAATAAACATTTTATTTTCAAACTTTTCATTAATGCGCATTACATACCACTTATATTTCATCATATGTATATCTTATTATTAGTAAATTTTGAGTTTTATTTGTTCAATACATTCATTGATAATGTACATAACATCTATGAAAGTTTTACACAAAAATTATGTGTTTCAATGCCTATATCTGTCATTTTTGTTGATTTTTTCCCGAAACCTAAAACGATAACGATATATCCCCAGAAATATCCATAAATTGGAGGCCCAATATTATCTGCACGGCCGATATTTTAATCCTTGTTTGTAATTTCTGCTGCATCCCTTAATGTGCTCAATTTACTTGCATCTCATATTTGTCAAATATCCATCACTATCTTTTGGTATATTGATCAATGAATTGCTAACTTTGAGAAGATTTTAAGTCTCCTACATATTTCCAACCAAAAGAAAGTAAGAAACACTTGAAGTAACATATGCATATAAGATTAAAACTTACACTAAATTATAAAACTGTTTAGCAGCTTCTATTTGTTTTAGGAAAGGATGTGACCAACCATATGATCTAAGAGAGGATGTTAGTGACTAACTAGAGGAGTAATGAAGAAGGGCTGAGATTTTTTTATTTATATTTATTTAAAAGAAGAAGAGCTGAGAAGATATTAAAGACATAAAATAAGTGTCTTGAAGTACTGCTCTATCAGATTTTTTTGAAGCAATGTTGTATCCGATTTTCAGACACACAATTTACACAGAGTTTGCTTAAGCAAGTAGCCTAAAAGAAAAAAAACTAAATAAATAAGAAAGAGAAGAAAAGAAAAGGCGAGTGTTATACTACTTCCAGATCTTATATTCTTTATCGAAAAGCAGCATACACAAAATTCTATTGTGAACATTGCATTGCCATCAAAAAAATTAATATAGCATAAGACTACATCTATCTAGAACAGGGCAAACTTTGTGGCAAGTTGCATATTTTTTATTTCATCCAATTGCCATACAACAGCCAGGTAATTGCATATGGATAATCCAATTACGCAAACTTTAAATGCAATTGAATTAATGAAGCATCCGATTGCCAAACAGTATACAGGTAATTGCATATGTGAAATGCAATTGTGCGAACTTGAAATGCAATTGGATATGTACTGTTTGTGCAAATAATCTTGCGGGAGAATATTCGCTTCTAGATCCTTCAACCTTCAATCTTCCTTCTCTCTCTTCCTCGATTCCTGTGAAAAAGACTGGAGTAAGTAGACCACACCCGGGGGGTGTTGGCCAAAGGCCCTTCGATGCCTAAGTTAGTTTGAGTGTTTGTAGAAAAACAATAGCTAAGCAAAGGGTACGGAGTTTATGTGAACCGGGCTGCCGGAGTTGTGTGTGGTGGCCGGAGCCGTGTGGAGAAAATATGGAGAGTGGAGAGGGAGAGAGAGCTTCGGATATTTTTCTCGGGTTTAGGAGAAGGTTTTAGATGTACCTTGAATGATGAAAGAGGTCGTCTATTTATAGGAGCCTCGGGGCTAGGGTTTCGTAGGGAATATGCTGAGTTTATTCTCTACCCAAATTCGTAGGGATTGAGTCGGACTTAGATAATATCTGATTTAATGATATTATCTTCTCTTTATTGAAGATAATATCTAAATTAAATGATATTATCTCTTTTTATGAAGATAATATCTGAATAAATGATATTATCTTCTCTTTATTAGGATAATATCTAAATTAATAGTATTATCTTATTAAATAAAGATAATATCCCATTAATTAAGATATTTATCCCAATTAATTAATTGGCCAGATAAACTGGTTCAATTAATTAATTTAAGAGATACTCTTCTTTTCCACGTGGCGTGCCCTGATTGGAGACGAAAATATATGCTCCCACAAATGCCCCCCAGCTTATGCATGGCGCTTGTGTGGCATGTAGGAGATGAAATTATTTTTTTCGAGCTCTCCAACTGTGTCTAGGCTTTATTCTGTAAGTTGGACTCCTTTGTAGATCAGATTTCCGACTGGTGTAGGCTTCTGACTGTTGTTGGAGTTGGATTCCCAGTATGAATGAGCTTGTGATTCCTCCTTGACCTGGGTTGTCCAACTTGTACAAATACAGGGCTTCTCTTCACTCTTTCTCACATCGCAAACTTAACTTCTCTACTTTCTGGCTTGAGAAAGATCTTGGAGAATTTGTACTGCTTGTTGAAGAGAGGAGTTGTTGTGCATCCAAAGTAAGTCGAGCTCGTATATTTTTTCTTCTTCTTCTCTTTTTTGAGGCGAGGACCAGCTAGGTAGGACCAGGCTGGTTTACGTCATGACTGGCAGTCGAAGACGGTTGGAGCTGTGGTGGCTAAGAAGAGGAGAGAGTCATCTGCCCGGGCGAAGAGCTCTTCTGCGACGTCAGTGGCTGATCCCAAGGTGGATAAGTCCAGCCCTGAAAAGGATGCAGGTGTGTTTAATCTGCTCAAGACGAACTTTCTGTCAAGTCCATCCACTTGTGCTCAGCTGGTTGATCAGATTCGTTAGGTTGGCGATCTTGGTACTTTCTCAAGTCTCTCCTTGAAAAAACAAAGGGAAGCAACATTTCATCTACTTCAAAAAAAAAGGTGGTGGAAAATGTCGCGGATCTGACAGGTAGAGCTGTTGAGAGCATCGCTGATCATGCGGATGCGGAAAAGACTGCAGATCAGGGATCTCCTGCTAGCATCTCAGAGTAGATGAAGACTCCTTTATTTCTTTTCAGCTTTTGTAGTCTGCTCTTTGTTTAGAATAATTGGTCTTGTTTGACCATCTTTTTTTTGTTCAATTCGCATAGTGTCTTGTGAACTGCTTGAGTGTTTCTGGGTTGATGCACATTAGCCTACGTCTGGAGACGTGTCAATGACAGTGGCCCGTTTGGCCTATGTCCGGAGGCGTGTCGATGTGTGTGACCTGTTTGGCCTACATCCGGAGACGTGTCGATGAGAGTGACCCGTTTCGCCTACATCCGAAAACGTGTCGATGATAGTGACCCGTTTGGCCTACGTCCGGAGACGTGTCGATGATAGTGGCTCGTTTAGCCTACATCCGGAGACGTGTCTATGTGTGTGACTCGTTTGGCCTACGTCCAGAGACGTGTCGATGAGAGTGACCCATTTTGCCTATGTCCGGAGACGTGTCGATGACAGTGACCCATTTGGCTTACATTCGGGGACGTGTCGATGAGAGTGACCTGTTTGGCCTACGTCCGGAGACATGTCGATTATAGTGACCCGTTTGGCCTATGTCCGGGGACTTGTCGATGAGAGTGACCCGTTTGGCCTACGTCCGGAAACGTGTCGATGATAGTGGTCGGTTTGCCCTACGTCTGAGGACGTGTCGATGAGAGTGACCCGTTGGCCTACGTCCGGAGGCGTGTCGATGATAGTGGCCCGTTTGGCCTACGTCCGGAGACGTGTCGATTGCTTTTCTGGGCCAGTGGTCTGCCTCCATAGTGGTTGCCACACTTGCCGTCGTGAATTTTACAGAGGACCTCAAGTGTTTGAGGGTACTTTATGCAGGTGAGATAAGGGCCGGAGTATGATCTGCGAATGAGCTTGTCGCCTTGCATGTAATATCTCGCGGCTTTCTGTTGGACCTTCCTAGCTTCGGACTTATCCGTTGGTAGATTTCCATTCACTAAGTAGTCGATGATGGGGTCTTGCTAGCTAGGGTCCTCATCAATCTGCATTGAGTCGATTGGCTCTATTTCTTCGATGCTTGGCAGGTCAAGGTGTTCAACTGGGATGAAGCGTCTGAACTAGGTGTCCAATGCTGATCCTAGGCTCACCAAAGCATCTGCATGAGTGTTCTCTGCTTGTGGAACTTGTTGGATGGTGAAAGTAGGGAATTCTTTCAAAAGTCCTTGGACTTTATCGAGGTACTGGACCATTCTTGGGTGCTTTGCCATGTACTCGCCAGAGGCTTGATTCGTGATCAGCTAGGAGTCTAAGTAGATGGCCAATCTCTTGATCGATAGTTCTTTCGCTAGGCGCAGTCCTGCAAAAAATGCCTCATATTCTGCCTCGTTGTTTGAAACAGAAAAGCCTAGTGTGATAGCTTGTTCCAACAAGGTTCCGTCTGGGGTGATTATGACGACTATTGCTCCCGCTTCTTTGTGATTTGATGCTCCATCTACATGCAACTGCCACATGTCGTTAGGTAGGTTCGAATCGGTGGGGGAGGTGTCGTCTGCTTTTTCCTTGCTTTTCGTGACCATCTTCTCTTCTTCGACTGTCGGAGTAAACTTTACAACAAAATCTGTTAAAGCTTGGGCTTTTATAGCAATTTTTGGCCGGTAGAGGAGGTCGTAGTGACTGAGTTCGATAGCCCAGTTGAGAAGCATTAGGGCTGTGAAGGATCGATCTCAAAGGAAATTCTATTATGACAATAATCCGGTGTGCTTGATAGTAAGGCCTTAGTTTTCTCGCAGAAACCACAAGCGAAAAAATGAGCTTCTCTATTTTCGGATAGTGAGTCTCTGCATCGAGGAGAGCTTTTGAAGTGTAGAATACCGGATGTTGTGCCCCCAGCTCTTCTCGGATGAGAGCTGAGCTGACAGCTAAGTCGGACACCGCCAGGTAGATGTACAAGTCTTCGCCTAGTATCGGTTTTGAGAGTAATGGAAGTGAACTGAGGTAAGTTTTCAAGTTTTGAAAAGCTACTTCACACTCGTCATCCCACTTGTTTTTGTGTCCCTTCTTCAAGGCTTTGAAAAATGGCATACACTTGTCAGTAGATCTTGAAAGGAAACAGTTGAGAGCTGTTGCCCTACCCGTTAGACTTTGTATCTCCTTTGTTGTGGCAGGTGACTTCATGTTGACCATAGCCTTGATTTGATTTGGATGTGCCTCAATTCCTCTTTGAGTGACTAAGTATCCAAGGAATCGGCCGGACGAGACTCCAAATGTGCACTTGTTTGGGTTCAACTTCATGTTGTATTTTCGGAGTAGGCTGAATGCCTCGGCAAGGTTCTCGATGTGGTATGCTCGCTCGGGAGCTTTGACTAGCATGTCGTCTACGTAGACCTCCATAGTCTTGCCAATTTGCTCCTTGAACATTTTGTTCACCAGCCTTTGGTAGATTGCTCCGGCGTTCTTCAACCCAAATGGCATGACTTTGTAGCAGTATGTACCTTTTTCGATGATGAAGAAGGTGTTTGCCTTATCGTCTTCATGCATCATGATTTGGTTGTAGCCGGAGTAGGCGTCCATGAAGCTTAACAATTGATTTCCGGAAGTTGAATTGACAAGCTGATCAATTCTTGGCAGTGAAAGGCTGTCTTTAGGGCACGCCTTGTTAAGGTCGGTATAGTCGACGCATACTCTCCACAGACCTTTATCTTTCTTGATTGCCAGCCATTCTACATAGCATAGGAGACTTCCTCAATGAAAACGGCAACCAGAAACTTGTCGATCTCGGCTTCAATGATGGCAACCCGCTCGGGGGCGAAGTTGAGTCTCTTCTGCGCTACAGGCTTGATAGCTGGGTTGACGTGTAGGCAATGGCAGATGATCTGGGGATCGATGCCAGGCATGTCGGATGGTGACCATGCAAATATGTCTTTGTTGTTCTTGAGGAAGACTACAAGCTCTGCCTTTTCCTCCTGACTTAGGCGCGAGCCGATCCGCGCTTTTCTCTCTGACTTGTCAGGATCAAGGGGTACTAGCTCAACGTTCTCCTCGGGCTCCCATCCTTCTTCAAGATAATCCTCTGGACGGATTCCCTCGACTTGGTCCTGATTCTTTGATTGCTATTAGGGAGTAGTTATTCCCTTTCCATTCTAGTTTGCTCGGCCTTCAAGAACGGGATCTGCTTTCTCCTCTGCTTGTTCTACTCCCTTTAGATTTGCCTGATTCATAGGGAGGAACTGTGTTTGCTTGCCTTTCTTTAGCCCTTGAGTTGAGCATTTCCTCACCATTGTCTGATCGTTGTTGATTTGACCGACACTGCCCCCAGGGATTGGGTAGCGAATCTTCTGATGTGTGGCGGAGGTGATGGCGTTGATCTTGATGATCCATGGTCTGCCTAGAATGCCATTGTAGGGTGAGGCTTCATCAATGACCATGAATGTTTGAGAGCTGATTACTGGTGGGGAGTAGACGTCGAGATCTATTGTACCCACGGTAACCGCTGTTGCACAATTGAAGCTAGTTAGTGACTTGGCTGATTTATTGATCTTTGTCTCTAAGCTCATCTGTTGGATGACAGCCAGCTGCAGGATATTGGTTGTGCTACCCTCATCTGCATGGATTCGGTCGACCATGGCCTAGGGGATTTGAATGCTGATGACAATGGCATCGTTACGTGGCATGTTGAGGTCGATCAAATCTTTATTTTGGAAACCGATTACAGGATCGTCTTCTGCTTGATCTTCCTCTTCTTTTCCTTGATGGTCAGCCCAGATTCCTCAGAGTCGGCTAGGATTTTGTTAATCCTTATGACCTTTTTGAGTTAATAAGTCCTTAGGGCTTAGGGGTGTTCAACACCCAGTGCACTAATGCCTTAGTGGTTTGGGAGTCATTGACCTAAAGCTCGCTATAGGGGTTGGATCAAAAGCTTAAAGGAACCGACATTGCACAACCACCACTATTACTAAAAAAAATCAAAATCAAAATATTAAAAATAAAAAAAAAAGTGTTAAGTAAGTGTGTGAAGTATGAATAAAGGGGATGAGAGGTAAGGATTTTAGTTGAGTCTCCTTAACTATGATTGTTCACTTTACACCGAAGGATGTTTGTGAGTTCTTTTCTAATTGATTCTAAATAGCTTAGACTTTGTGGTGGGATTAGTTGGATCTATTGAATAGATGTTCTAGTTTTTAAACTTTGCTATGGATTGCAACTTGAAAATGGAAATTTTGTCTTGGTTAAGTGTTAGCCAGTTGTCTAGTCTGTTAAGTTTTTATTTTGTTGAGTATTGTTTTGCTTGAGGACAAGCAAAAAGCTAAGTTTGGGGGTATTTTGATGGGTATATTTTATATTATATGTTTAACCCCACTCTTAGTACATTTTGGTTAATATTTTGGAAGAATTTTGATACTTTGAATTATATTTCTAATACAAGACTTTTGACTTACTCTGGAGCAAAACATAATCAAATGGACGAATTTTGGAGTAATTCTAGTTGGAGGACGTATGTGAGTCACTTAGCTTGATCGTATCAAAATTTCAGATTTTTCTACCAAGCGGTTATTTTCTGGCAATAAGATAAAGGAGCAGTGTGCTGTGCTGGAATAGTGATGTTTTGGGCTTTGATTGCATTTTTGGAGCCCAAGATGACCTCGAATGGGTTCGTGACCTTCTGGAGAAGTGTTCGGAATATTTTTATCTTTAAAACAAGCTATCTTGGGCCAGATTTGGAGGAGATTTGAGGCCAAAACGTGACTGGGCAGATTGTGGGCAGATTCTCCTAATTCAATTTGGACTTTATCTCCTAGTATTATTTTATTTTAATTTAGTTTCCTTGTGGGGATTGGGCAGCTAGGTTTTAGGAAGTATTAAAGTTGGTTTTCAGAACAATTTTGAATGACTTCTTTTGGCTTTTGGAGTAATTGCTAGGGTTTTGGGTTTTTGCGACTTTCAGGTGTTTTCATTCTTATTCATTCGAATGATATTTTCTTGGATTTCAATTATGAATATGCGTAACTAAAATTCTTTTGCTAGGGTGAAACCTTGAACGTTGGTATGAATATGTGATTTTTATTTAATTGCTTATGATTGAGTGCATGCATACTTTGAATTGTTAATCACTGTTTTAAACTATCTAATTGTCTTAATGCTTGATCACAATTAGGATCTTTAAAAAAGTAATTAGATGCAATTTTGGTCAGAAGGTTCCTGAAATTGGCGCTTGTTTCTTGTGATTAATAATTGTAATTTCACTTAAGATGAACACCATGTCTTAAGGGTTGCATGGTTTTTCAAAGGGTTTTCACAGAACTTAATGAGTCCCTCATGTTCATATTTGATCCGAACGTCCAGACGGGTTGCATGTTGGATATACGTTCTATGTTGGAGGTTCCAAGTATAATATAAATTAGGAAAACCTAACCTTCAAAGTAGCATGTGCAAATCATAAGTAATTGGTAGAAATTCATAGGATTGCTAGGTGATGGTGGAACCCTAGTGCTTTTATAAATTGGTTTTTGAAACTCTTTCATACAATCGTATTTGTTTTTGTTAAAATTTTTTTTTTTAAATATCACACAAGTTCATATTCATCTTTTTCTACTTTCAATTTTAGGTAGTAAATTAGAAATTATTTTCACATAAATTGCTAAATAGTCCTTGAGGAGAACGACCTTGCATGAGCATCTATACTACAATAGCCTTGTATTCTTGCAAGTATTTTACTTGATTTTAACCCTGTTTGCACAGGTACTAAAAATCCTATCAGTTGTAGCTGGCCAGAATTTCGATTTGAAATCCGACCAAAACCAAGGTTTCAAATCGGGACATAAAATGTAAAAATCGATCCAATCCTACTCAATAGGCAGCTAAGGTGTGAAGAATAGGTGAGAATCCATATCTCTTACGTTGAAAATGGTGGCCGGAAAGTCGTCGATGAACATGGCAGTTTCTGCCACTTTTCCTCTCGTTGCCACTTCCGATTGCCTGGTTTTCGGATGAAGAGAAGGGGTGGGCTGGGTAGAGGAGAGAGAGAGAGAGAGAGAGAGAGGAAGCTTTTGCAAGTGACGGCGGCATTCTCGCTGTCTGAAATTTTCGCAAAAAAACTAAAAGGGGAGGGGGTTCTACAAGCAAGAGAGAGAGAGAGAGAGAGAGAGAGAGAGAGAGAGAGAGAGAGAGATAGATGTGGTTTTTAAAATTCTGACCTGACAAATGATCATTTTGCCCCTCAACATATTTTGATCGTATTTTCTGCGTTATAACTCCGATTTGAGTCCGCTGCATGTCTATAGACTCGTTTCGTCACGCTCTGTGCAACAGTGAAATCAAAATTTCCAAATTCTTTCCGGGTCAAAAAGTCGATTTTTCTCAAATAATTTATTATAAATTAATTAAGGATCGGGTTGTTACACGCACGATCTCCCATTTCCGAACTGAGAGTTCCTACGAGTTCAACAAGGTTTACTATGCCTGTCCTCTAAGTTTGGTTCGAATCGAATGGTTGGATCGCTCACGATCGGACGTTTATCATTTATCTAAACTTTGAATTATTGAATCGGAGTATCTGCAATTCCAATTCTGATCCGCGAATTCCTATACGATCCTAGAACTGTTTGAAAATGAAGTCGATCCAAAAGGTCTGAACATATCAAACCCGAATAACACCTAAAATGCGATATCCGATCAACAATCAAACGGTAATCAAATTAAAATCCGAGCAAACCATCGGCTCAGGACAACACGAGGATCGTTTTAGGACCAAGAGGGACACCCAAATAGTTCCCATGCTCCGCCACACCCGACGACAGCGCGTGGGTGACCAAAGTAATTTTGACGGTCAGAAAATCTCCAAACAGCCGGTCAAGACCTATACCTACATGATGTCGGACGGAGCCGGAATTTGGCCGGGAAGTGATGGCTGCACAAGAGAAAAGCGAGGGGCTGTTTCTGAGAGAGAGAGAGAGAGAGAGAGTGTGTCGTAAGGTAGGGGGAGAGAGAGAGAGAGAGAGAGCTGCCAATTTTTGAAAAAATCTGACATCGCAAAAATTATGACTACAGTTCCGTAGATCATAACTTCTTCGTTATAACTTCGATTTGAGCTCACTATGTGTCTAGGGACTCCTCTCGACGTGCTCCACGCAACGCTACAACTAGAATCCCAAGATTCATTCCTTAACGAAAAGTCAACTTTTGAACCATTAAAATATTCCTAGAGTAAAATCGTCTTTTACTTAAATAAATTAATAATTATAAATTTTATTTAGAATCGGGTTATTACAACCAAAGCGCAATATTGCATTGGAAATTAAGTGAAGTACTCCTTACTTTCTCTCGAATTTCTCTACTTTTACTAAAACTTTCTAACTCCTAGTTTCTCACTTTCTCTTCTGATGTGTCTTTTGCAATACAGCGAGCGAGCATGCCCTTATATAGCGGGATTACAATAACAAAGCAGTCATAGTCTGAAATATCGATAATATCGACGAAATATCGAGGATATTTAGGTTTTTTCGAATCACGGATATTTCAGAATATATCCATGTACATATCGTATAAATATCGACGATAATATCGGAAAATATCAATGTCGATAATTTCGCTCACACTTCAGCAATATTTTGTCATAATATCAGTGTAAAATCGCTAAAATATTGAAGAAAAAAAAAAAAAAAAAAAAAAAAAAAAAAAAGAAGAAAGGGAGGGAAAAAAAAACACAAAGGGGATTTGAACCCCTCCCATTTTACTCCTCCAACACCTTAACCACCATATATCACTTATGTTTTAGTGATAATATGCTAAAATATTTATATTTATATGGGTGACATGTTAACAATTACATGCAAAACTATTTTGAGGATTTATCATTTGATGAATACTCTTCACAATACACTTACTCTACACATAGAGATGATGAAGATAGTGAAAAATTTGAACCTCATAGGAATTCTATGCGGTACTAAGTCACTCGTGTATCTTACTATGCAATGCATAAAGTGTAAAATATTGTAGTAAATCATTATATATAAATGATTATAGTGTGTTTAATCTTTTTTTCATTAATTACTACATATTTTCTACACTAACAGTGTTTGCCAACTGGCTGTATAATCAACTTAAATAAGTTAAATCCATCATGTAATGCATTTCCTTCTAATTTTTTTGATAAACTAATAGATAATTGACTAAATAAACATTCTCCAAAGTTTCAATAAAAATTTCCAAGTTTTTCTTATAATTTCCGTGGTTTTTATTCAATTTTTATCGATATCGATAATATCCCGATATTTCCATTGAAATTTCCATATTTTTGGACTACTGATATTTTCGATATTATCGATATTTTAGACCATAAAAGCAGTTAATGCTTTGAGGAAGAAGTGGAAGTGAAAGCATTTCACCCACCAAAATTACTATCACACTTATACATCAATATACTTTTGCACTTACAATAGTTATGGCATGCACACAAAGTCTTCCTTTGCGGAATCCACTCTTTCACAACATTTTTTAGATTTTTCATGTGTCGAGAAGGAAATGGTGTGCTGGAGATGCTGCTAATTTTGAGTTGATGTGTGGGTTTGCGGGCCTTTTTGTCCTTTTTTGGTTAAAGAAAGTGGGCTGGGAAGGTTTTGCGTTT